TCCAGGACAGTCACGTCAGCAAGTAGAGAAAGTGGGGGTGGGCAGACACATCGAACTTTCCCACGATATCAGAGAAATTCAGGAATGAAAATGACGTTACATACGAGGTTGATGCATTTGTGCATGTCGTACTAAGCAAGGTATAAAAACAGTTGCTTTATGAGGAATTAGTTCGTACCATTGAATATTTGACGCAATAGACAAGGTGTCGCAGAAACCGATGTTGCTATAACCAAGTTTTACTGTAATTTTATTTTATCTTAAAACTGATATAGGTGGATATAAGCAATACGAACGCCCGTCCCCCCCCCCTTCTCATTTCTACCGAGTTCAATTTTATTCTGTTTTGAGTGGTGGTAATACTGACACTTCGAGTATTGCAGCTTCATTAATGGAATGTACAAAAGCGAAACAGCGACCTTCCTTCTGGTTCTTGAATCAGAGGCTGTGAAAACTTCTGAAATCTGCGAAGGAATGGCAATTCAGTGTGACGAATGGGTGGAAATATTCAAAAGGGGTGAGACAGGTGATGTGTTGATACACTTCCGCACTTCCATCATCCGTGAATAATTAAGGCCTGTCTTAAGGAAAATAAAAAAAGAAATATAGACTGAATACTGGAAATACGTCGCTAAGACCTTGTAATTCGACACACTATATTTCTGTAGTGACGGATCGTAGGCATATCTACTAGTTGTCCATTCAAAGCTTGCTTTTGCCGTATCTTACGTTTCAGCATTATGCAATTAGGAATCCTTCCATGGTCACAGCGACGAAGGGCACGGAAATTCTACCAGATCTGGGCACCATTTGGTTTAAGAATTACACAATGGCCATACTATGCCCTCATAGGACCTATAGTTGTTAGATTGTTTGTAAACTGTTTCCTTTCTAGCTGCTAAGAAATTTTGTAATAGAGGGCGTGACATAGATCCCCTAACTGATTTTGTTAGTTTCTGAAGAGGTCAGAGTGTATCTACGTTGCTTGACGAGTGGCATCAAGTGTTTAGTCAAGACTTGTGATGGCACCCAGTTGCAGCAGGACAAGAAGAGGCTCCGTGAAGAGGCCGAGAGGGCGACGCTGGAGGCTGGAGAGCTGCGTCAGGAAGTGGACCTCCTGAGGGGTCGTCTGGAGGAGACAGAGTGGGGCCTCTGTCAGAAAACTGGCGAACTCTCACTCCTGAAGGCACAGCTTAAAGACTCTCAGGTTAGTGGCCACGTGTTACATCCGACATTATAATGTTCCGAGCTCGGAATACCAGTATGAATTCTGATGTTCCGTGCTCGGACGAAATGTGTTTCACTTTGGAAAAGTAAATAAATATAAATAAAAAATGAACATGTTAGAAAATTCAGTATGTTCATGAAGATACGTCTAAAAGACTTATGAAAAGTGTGTGTTATTACACACTTATTCTGGATATTTGACATCAAATTCTGGTTAAATAAACACGGTGTCACGGAAACTGGCTCTGATACCCTTTTCAGGAAAAACTGCGACATCTGCTCTGTTGCATCCGTTAGCTGGAGCTGTCTCTAACGGCCCGGTATAGAAATTAGCTCCATCTAGTGGACCCAACAGAGTAAGTTTCTTAATTTTATCATATGACAGAAGGAACAGTAAAACTATACCAATTTAGCTCCCATACATACACTAATCATGACGCTGTATAAAACCACGGAAACGCAGTATGCTGACAGATGGCATCACGCGCAGTTTACTCTCATTGTTCCGATAGTTGCGTCTTTCTCATAATTGTCTCTTTTATTCTGTTGTTATTTTCATGAAATGAAATCTCATTTAGATGAACATTTTGAAAACTATATTTCGTGTTCTTTTCCTGTGAAAGGTAAAGCTATCCTTGTAATAGGTCATGGAGGCCCATAGGTTTGTGAGAGGTCGAGGCTCCCACATTTTCTATAGACAATCGGCTCACAGATGGCGGTAAGGTTGTCAGCCTTACGCGCCGGCCGCCCTTTACGCCCCAGGAAGATTCCTGGTATTCATTTCTGTTACAGGTTGAGTAGACCCCAGGGCCATAATGCGGCTGGATGGATTAGGTAAATTGGAAAAATCCACCTCATCGGGACTCGAACCCGCGCCCTTCCGGTTTGTAGCATAGTGCCTGAACCAACTACACTACCTCTTGCCCCATTCTTTTTCTGTATCTGACGTTATATAAAACCGCGGATACTTGCAACAGAGACCCTAGTAATATATAAAATTGATAGAGACATATAAGGCGCGCGAGTTAATTTCTCTTGAACGGTATAATAATTTTATTGACTAGATAAATTCATAAAGGTTTTAAATAAAATCGTAGGATTTTATATTTAAATAAATTATAATTTATTATTAGTGTTTCGGAGGAACATGCTTTTGGCATCATCAGGGGCGAAGTGTATTGCTCGAAATCGGTTAGTACATACAAACAGGTAGAAATGAAGGCGGTCAGTCGCATCTCCGGGAAGGCCGAGGAGATAATACACGCTCCAGCCCATTAGGAAGACAGTTCCTTGTGGATGGATAATATTGTGGTCCTGAGCCTAAACTCGGTTCTTTCTCCTCTCCCCCTCCATTGGTCCGAATAAACATCTTTTGCAACTTTGTTATAAAAATCTAACATATTCCTTGCCCTAGACGATTCTAACCTGAAGATGGAAGCAGCATTTCATCCGAAACATATCCATCTAAAGACTGTATGTTGTCAACCCAGCTGACCACAGTCTGAACAATCGCCCTTGTCAGTACCTCAGATATTATTCAGTGCTCGTCAGTTTATAGTCAGTTTCAGGCAATTGGTTGGATATTTCTTTTGCAGGGAGAGCAGATAACTAAGGACCATGAGTTGCTTCAGTTGCGTGGACACACACGTGACCTGAAAGCGGAACTGGAACGTCAGGAGGCCGAGATGGATATGCTACGACAGCAGCTGAAGGAGCGCGACGTGGGGATTGGTAGTTTGCAGCGACTGACAGCGGAACTGGAAAAAAGTAATCTAGCCGACAAGCGTCGCCAGGCGGAGTCCGACGCTGAGGTGCTGAGGTTGAAGTCAGAGATCAGCAGACTGACAGATCAGCTCCTCGAAGAAAGTTCTACCAACAAACAGAAACTTGAAGCTAACGAGTTAGAAGTGGGAAAGTTGCGGTCGAATATGTTGCAGTTGGAGAAGGACCTCAAAGTAGCACAGGAGGTGGTACAGTGTAGTCACGAGATATGTAACTCCAAAACACAACCTGGGAATAAAATGCATGAAGTAAATGTTGAATTTTCGGAATCGCGGGAGGCCAATAAAACGGACGGTCGTGTGACAAACGGTGACATTTGTTTGAGCAAGGAAGTGGATCGACTCCGTGAAGAATTGTCGCAAGAGAGAAATGAGTTTGAGCAGGAGCGTGTCATTTGGGCCCAGGAGAAGGAAAAGGTACTCCGGTATCAGCGTCAGCTGCAGCTGAACTACGTGCAGATGTTCAGGCGCACACGAACCTTGGAGGCTGAAGTGGAGAGTCTCACACTGGAGCTGGAACTCGAGACCAAAACGGGACGCACCACAACAGGCACGAAACAGCTTCCAGCTATTGATATGGCTCATACAATCGAACTCTGACAGATTTCCCGTAAGTAATCTTCTGTACTGGAGGAAGGGGTGTTTAGAAAGATGTCTTCAAGGTTCCGTAAACAAGGGGAACTTGAAAACAACTGTCGAAAATTTCAGGAGATCCGGCACCTTAACGAGGCAACTTGGTTAAATAGACTAAAAAAAGGGACATCGACTGGAGAGAAAATATTCTGTAATTTCAAAACCAATAAATGTTCGGATTCATGAACTGTGTTCTATGAAATATTGAGCTCTATTTCCAGGCTGATAAATTATGTTCCACGAAAGAAAACATACAGCTGAAAAATTTAAATTGTTTACAATCACATTATCAACTCCAAATAATATTTTATAGTTTAAAGCATTAATTTATATAAACATTTTAAGTACAGTACAACAGCACGAGCGCTGTATATAAATACCGTATATACTGTCTCAGTATAGAAGAAATTAATCATTTTATTGAAAGATATTTGTAGTCTGTCAGAGAGTTTTATGACGTGACCGGATTCCGTCAATCCAGCGAAGCACTTCAGAACTGACCAAACGTAAGGTTATCTCAGATGGCGTAACTTCCAGATTTAGGGGATTTTTGGCTGTGATAGGAATGGCTAATATACACATCCAGCCTATACTGGACTTAAACCCGTGGCCTCGTCATGTGTTGAGACGTAAGTCATGCTGCCGCTGGGGTGTCCAAGAGTTTTCGGTTAGCCGTGGGTGAAATTGGTGAAAGTGTCAACATTTCATATGGAATTGTATGTTACCCGGAATCTTAAATCATGGAGCCAGCGGGGTCTCCAGCGTTCTGAACTTGCAATGATTAAAATATTTGAACCCGTCAAAATTTTGTACATAATTATTTTATAAAATTTAAATAATACAGGAATTTAAATCTCTCACTAAATCAGCATTTTCAATTTGTAGTGGGTTAAATGTATGAACGTATCTAAATTTCGTATAGAATTTAATATTGTCTTGAATTTTACTTAGTTCCTATTCTCAGAATATAAGAGTTGGACACCATATTATTTTCTGGGCATCCAGGAAATTTCCTCTTGTTATGCAGAGGCATATTTGGAAATATGTTGGGTCTGTTTCAATATATATGAATCACAAAGGACACAGTCTGAGTCTATGTTACGACCGACGGTCAGTCGGCCAGTCTGTCTTGGAATAGAGCACCCATCTCGGGCTTACACCAGATTTTTATTACTGTCAGACAGTTGCGGGTTTGTTGATATGGGGCGCTGTCTCTGACGAGAGGACGGGTCCGTCGTTTACAATTGCTTCTGGTCCGCGCCAACGCAGTCATTTTCGGGTCTGAGTCCCGTGGAATTCGTGATCATATTTTACTGTCTGAGATTCGAGACATCCCTTTTCGTCGCGTCATACGACTCGCAGGGCTACGGTGGAGGTATTCGATCCCGCCTCCACGCGAGAAACAAAGAACAGACGAAAATATGGTGGTCTATATACTACTATTGAGAATGTGATTTCACAGTTTATGTCTCGACAGTGTGATTTTTGCCAGATCGTCAACCCGGCATGTTCTAAAAGCAGAAAATTAAAGCTTGAATAAAGTGTATTTCTGAATTTCTTAATGTATTTGAAAACTAAAGACAAAACTAATTAATGTTAATAACGGTGTTCTCCATCTCGGTCAGAATTTGACCTATTTATTTTATTTTGGACGCTTTTTACTGTGTAGGAAGCTGCTTCGATCAGTTGTACCATCATAGCATTAATATTTTGTTCTACAATAAATTATCTCCCATGGCAGGAAACGAATGAATCTGTAGGACTTGAAATATAGTTTCTCGCCGAATGGACTAGTTCGTTTTTAACATAAACACTATTGGATTCGAACAGTCGTGGTAATGAAGTGTCTTCTGGGTAGACCTGTTTGAGTCGTTCAAGTACCTCTTTCTTTTTGTTTAATTTAAAAATTACCTCCGAAATGATTCATCATTAAGTGGCAGGTGTAATATATATATATATATATATATTAAAGAATGCAACATTGTCTCATACTGATAACTAAGAATTGATGAAAGGAAGTGATAATTGTGTGTAACGCAACCGAATTCAAGTAGAAGTGAAGTTTAAGATAAGTAAATTGGACTAATATTATAACTAGTAAATTAATTTAATTTCAGCAACTATTTCTGTGTTATTTATAATGTGGAATAAGATGTAACGCATGGGATGTGCCATGACAGTGTCAGTAACACATATTGTGTACTATAACCGCTTTAACTTTAACCGTCAGATACAGCAAACTTAAAGGATTTTAACCGGAAGCTGAACATAAAAAAGCCAACTGAGTAAATACACATTTTTACAGTTTTCATTTTGACCACTTTCCTTGTTTTATAAAGAAAACAAATTTGTCTTACGATGGTCTGTCCAAATGAAAACCGTTTCAATAATTAAATTAAGGAATCTGTAAATATTTCAAATGTGTATTAGACTATTAAATATGCAGAATGCCTATATTTACATTCCACGTCATATTGGACATTATCTCTGAAGATAAATTTTTCAAATTTCAGTGTCTGTGTTGGTAAAGTAAAGAAGCCGAATATTAGACTGTATCTGAGGGATACTTTTTGAAAGAAAAATATGTATTTTTAAGCTAAAGAAAGAGGCACCACAATATTTATTTTATTTTTAACTGCAAACAATGAAGATAAAAAAAACGAAGAATATAAAATTTATAAGTACGTTAAAGAACTAATATTTATGTATTGAAAACTTGGAGAAGAAACCTGGATATGAGGTCAGTGTTACAATAGCAAAAACTTTTAAAATTATTTTAATACTTGGCAGAAGAAAATATTAAAATGACTTATTTATTATGTGTTATACATTGCCACGTACTCGGTGTTCCGTGACTGATAATAATGGCTTCTAGACCTGTTGATTGGATTTATTGGCACTTCCAGTACAATTACAATCTGTTATAACAGCTCACAATTAATCTTCAGCTGAATCCTTTTACCTTGATCTCCGAGGTCACCTCCATTCTGCTTCTTGTTATACGACTGATTTAAAATGACCTTCGCTGCCCCCTACAACTTTCGACACGGACAACGCACAGAAAACACCTCCATTGCCCAGCAACAGATATCCTCTATTGCTGACCAGGCGTATTAACCGATACATTATTTAGCAATGGACGTCCTTTTGTTGTTACACGCTTAAGAGGGAAGGTGGTTATCTGGCCGTTGCCTAGCAACTGCCGCAAAATATTTTTGGGCCCAGTGATAGCATATCAAACACTGCTCTTCATGTTAATCATGGGAGTAAGGAGAATTGCAGTATGAAATTTCGGTATTTTCCATCACCAGCAGTTTCACTGGAACTCTCAGAAAGCACAGCAAATTTGTTAAAGTCTGAATCTTCTGTAATATCAGAAATGTTTTTAATGTATTCATTTTATTTTTCTTGTGTCGTAATTCCCCGTTTGATGTTGAAAAGAAATTTTGATTACAGCGCTGTATTCTTGCACCCGCGGTGTGACTTGCTACGTCAAACACAGGCGGGAATAGTGTTCATCAAGTTTCGATATCGCTATAGCGCACCTATCCATTTTTATTACAAGTTTGAGTCACGGGAATAATTCATCTCNCCCCCCCCCCCCCAATCTTAGGGTTTTGGCGTTGAATAGAATGAGAAACTATGTGACGCGCACATAGAATTAAACCATTATTGGATTCGGAAACTTTTTAATTATATGTTGGCTTTCTTTAAAATCCTCAATGATTATTCCTATATTGGCTGCAAAGCCAGAATTCCCTAGGGATGTAAAATTAATTAATGGAGTTAACACTATTTTAATATCAGTACTTATAGTACTAATAGTATTTGCAGTCGTAGCAGTAGTAGTAGTTAGTATTCAGTAGTTGTAGTTAGTAAACTTGTTGACAATATAAAAACCTGTTGACAAATTTCTGTTGTAATTCACATATGAATTAGTCCTTACTCAAGTTCAAATAACTGTGTTAAACATTTTGTACAGGTACGCATTTTTTTTAGAGTATGTTCTAGAAAGTAAGCCTGTTAATTAATTCTATTATTCTTAGTATTTATTTTATAGTTACTGTGTGTTATTGTCTCCTTAAAAGAGAATTATATTTCTGTAATGTATAAACAATGTTGTCTTTGATTTGGGTTGTGTACTTTAACAGTATAGAATGAATGTTGTTTGTAATTATTGAAAACACATTAATAGTATTTGTGTGTTGTCCATATAATATTGCGTTTTAATTGTGAGGGTATTGACAGAACATTTGTAAATTAAAGGCCCTACGAACTCCACCACTTCTTATATAACAAGTGTTTTCTGTTTACCTTTAAGGAAGAAGATAAATCAAATCTTGCATTGGAGAACTTTTAATTCAACTGTATTTCAGTACCACCGGAACAATGTAAATTTACCTGTTGTTGCGTATTTAGTGAGTGTACTGTTGCATTATCTGCGCTAGTACGGACCAGTTGTGTGCAAATTTCTTCTGGATGTGATTGTAAGTACGTAATCTCCTTGTTAGCTTAGAGTAGGCCTCGATTGTATGATTTATGGCAAATATGTGAGCTATTTTCTTTTAAGAGCTAGACGCAGATCTTACGTATAATGAATATAATTTTTGTCAGGAATACCGTACTTTCTTTGCAGCATTTTAAACGCCACGTTAGCTTAAAGGCAGCACTGTTGCAATTCAACTGTAGGCAAGAGATATGTAATTTAGTTAGGAAATAAATAATAAGAAGTTAGGACATACGTAAGTATACAGTCATTGCCACAGCGTGGGAAGTTGATTGCGTTACATACGTGTAAGTAATGGCACTAGCCAAATAACCAATCAGGTTAGTTGAATCAACGAATTATACGACCTAATATGAAACTTATAAAGAATATGGATGTTGGTTTCCTTTCCATTTTATTTCCACTAAGGCAATCGTGGCATCGGTAGCCATCTGTCCTGCTGGGTCACCAGCGATAATAGTAAGACAGCAGCTATATCATAGAGTGAAGTTTACTTACCTATGTTAAAAGCGGCCTCCGTAGTCTAGAGGTAACGTTCCCACCTCATGACTCGTGGTACGCGGGTTCAGACCCGGCGAGGTCGTCGAATTTTTAAGGGCGGAAAAATTCAGGGAACAAGTCCTCCGGGAGGGACTTTAAGCCGTGTGTCCCGTGTCGTAGCTTTACGGCACGTAAAAGAACCTCATATCTCCAAAGGAGGTCACTGAGCCAAATTCAAGGACGTTTCCCGCCCAACAAGTAGTCTCTAACACCTCTGATAGATGGGGGAAGCATTATAGATACCGCCAAGCTAGTGGAGGCCGATCTCGCTGGTTCGGTCGGGACTGATGGTAGGCACCAATATCGGTAGGATATAGAGACTGGTAGAATATCATAGAGGGAAGCACAATGGACCAATACTGCTCTAAGTACATGGGGGAAATCCACCCTCTCCAATAACTAACTAACTAACTACCTATGTTAAAAGAGATGCTGTACAGTTTTGCCATCGTTTTGGATATAATTGCCACACCTTATAAACTGATTCTGGCCAGACGCTACATTTCTCTGATATATGGGGCGCTCCAAGCTAATTAATTCGCTTAGTGGGGGGTGCAGTCCAACTGGGTCCACTCGGCATGGCGGCCACTGATTGGCCTATTGTACCTGCCCCGGGTGATTATGATGATTGAGAATTTGGTGGAATGAAGACTGGCAGGGGAAACCGAAGTACTCGGAGAAACCCCGCACCAGAGCCACTCTGTCCACCACAAATCCCACTTGACCAGACCCGTGATCGAACCCGGGCCGCCGCGGTGGGAAGCCAGTGACTAACCGCTTGAGCTATTGGGCGGCCCTCACACTCCAAGCTATATTGTTCCTTGTGTGGACTGGTATAGTAGACTTTTTCTTTTAAGCTTCTCCTCTCTCAAAAATCATGCGAGGCGTCGGGGAACGGGATGGTCTTGAACGACTCAACTCTTACCCAATTTCTGTCCAAGGCTTGCATGGAATCCTCGGCCGTATGCGGGATGTCAGGAGCATATTGAAATTACCACAGTGTTTTCCTTCGTCTGCCAATAGCCAGAAAATTGCTTAAAAATCTTTTTCACACATCTTCAGAGATTATCTGCATGAAACACAGGACCAGTTATCCACCGTGTACTCGAAGTGCACATTTACATTATGAAGCGAAAATCTCTGAAGATATGGATTTTCCGCTCTGACGTGTCTGTTATTTTGCGCATTCATATGCCCTATTAAAAAACCAAGCCTCGTCTGAAAGATAACTCGGAATAAAGTGCGCTGTCATTAGCCGACATCAGATACCAGATACAGAAATTACTAGATAACGTGACTATAAGAGAGCATAACTGCCAGCTTCGGATATTTGAAATTATGTTACAAGTCGCGTAATTATTTTAAAAATTCCATCAGTATTTTAAATAGAAAATTGTTAATCCACGAAGTTATTTTTAGGTTCTAAATCTCTCTCAAGGACCAGTTATTTCATTTTATTATTATTATTATCATCATCATCATCATCATCATCATCATCATCATTAACGTCGTCATCGACGTGTATTATTCTTTCTTCTTCATCTTCGTTGTACTCCATTAATTGTTGATTGTAGTGAAGCAGCCGTTTGCCTGCCGTTGCAATATCTGACTAGTTTGATTAATGCAAGCAGTTACTGTGTTGTGACAATAAAGTCTATGTGATGTTTTATGGCCACACAATTTACTGTCTGCAGTGAATCAGTACTGGGAGTAATAATGGATAATAAACGTTTTTGATACCTCCTGCTACATGCCAGAGTGCAGCGTTGTTATCTAATCCATTTGATTGACAACTTTTGGGAATGACCTCAAGAAAGCGTTTACAAAATCTAGTTGTTGAAGGGAATCAAAATTATCGCAGACAGCGAACGAACCAACAATTATCAGAGTCCAGAAAGTTCCAATTAAAATATCTTCACAGAAAATTATAGACGTTTTAAGCGGACGAATCAGAATAATTACAGTTACCATGGGCCGGATGGCACAACAACGCCTTTTTTGTTTTCAGGTAATTATCAGCAGACTGTTCAGAATATAAGTGGATCTAAATCACTGTGTATTTAACATATCTGGAACAGCTTGCATACCAATTTTTTTTTTCATATAATATACTCCTACCGTCGTAACATCTGGATTTTAAGCTTAGTTCTTGCAGTGTGGTTACTGGGTACTGGACTGCTTTGTTGTACACCAGGATCTGTCGTTATGAGCGGAGAGTTTGTAAAACTTCTGAGTCCTAAAGTCAACTTAAAGTATCACTAAGTAAAAAAATCACACGTTCACCTACAGGCTGTGCACTGAGTGGCCGCAGGTTTTTAGAAAACACATATGAGGCAATTTTTTTAATACGTGTGTAAGGATATAGGCGCTTTGTCAAAGCTGTTTCACATTCTGGTTTCACGGAAAGACTCGGAGAGCTGGATTCTCGAAAAAAAAATGTGCCGAGTTATCGATTTATCAGGGTTTTCTTTTTTTTTTTTTTCTTGAAACTTTCACAAGACTATATATACAGGGTCTTAACACAATCAGTCTACCTTACTTTGGTAAGCAATGGCAACTAAGAAAATTTGATAACAGTGGTTCTATAACCAATCACTGAGGAGCTACAGAAGTTTCAGTATGTGCAAACAACAATTACCTACGAAGATAACTGCCTTCTGAATTTGCCAACTTCGTGAAATACAATCATGGCAAAAACCTGCGATGGTTTCATCTGAACTATACAAACTACTGCTAATCGTTTTTTTTTTTGCCTCAGTTGCATTTGATCCGCTCTAAGAGTAAAATGTAAAATTATGCTGTGACAAAGTCTCACTGTGTTCCTACGTGTCTTTGGAAAACGAATTAACGGATCACTCCCATTGAGTTCCTTGATAATGTTACAGTTGTGAATTCTGTGTTGGTAACAGCAACAATATCTTAGATATTTTCCGAACCGCAGAATCACGAACAGGAAAATATTTGTTTTGAGGTTTTCACGGCGATGACTATGAAGAAAGTCGTCTTCTGGGATCTGGCGCCGTGTATTCTTGGTTTTAACCGACGTTTCGGAGGAACATATCGCTTCCATCTTCAGGGCAGTTGAATTGCGTTGCGAATACAGAGNACTCTATAAATGTTCTATGTGTGCCCTTTGGATCATACGACACACGTCCAGGCGGTAGTCGAGCTCGTTCCACACATTTTGTAGCATCATCCTGTCAATGGTCATTACTGCAGGATCGATGCGTTCCCTCAGCTCTGCTAGTGGGGGTACGTATACACAATCCTTAATGTACCCCAAAAGGAAGAAGTCACAAGGCCTTTGATCAGGTGATCTGGGGGGCCAAGTGAACAGAGCTACGTCATCCTCACCAAAACGCCCAATCCAGCGATGCCGAAGTTCATTGTTTAGATAGCGATGAACATTGCCGATACCACCGCAAAATGCTTTGTTTACATGGCGGTTCTTTTCCGTACTCTCTTTTGAATGCGCGTTGCACTGCTATAACAGATTAATATCTCGCATATTCCAGCAAACAAAAACTCTTTTCTTGCTTTGTCGCCATTTTGTAAAGGCACTGAAATCATGCTGCCAACTGGTCCATATGATACAAACTTGATGAGTTTATGGTTCTTTTTATATATCAATCATGTTTATATANAGTTTATGGTTCTTTTTATATATCAATCATATTTGTACGTATAATAAAAATAATATAAAATATAGTGTTTTAAAAATGAATGAATCATTTATAGTAGCTCTTTACTGTGGAAGAGATAGTCCACACTGCACCTACTACAACGTAGCTCAACGACTAGTGTCCTAAGGTTGTCTGATAAAATTGATGAATCCGCATCGTGGGTATTCCGGGCAATACATTATGGTTTGTATCCTTACCATTTACAAAGTGTGCAGGTCTTCAACTTCATGGTTACTATCTTCATATATAAGATTGCCATTGGATGCCTGTACATTACGGGTTCTATATTTCATACCGTTCAGCGATGGAATTAACAACACATGAAATTACCACTCGTGGTCCGCCAATAGTTACAATTGCAAACCTCTCGGGACTGTTGAAATGACCTTCCAGCATCTGAATATTTGGTGTGATCTGAATACAGAAGTGATGATTTGAACGTTCAGATTAATGCAGATGCGTTTCCTGATGAACGAATTGCAGTTCTGAACCGAAGACGTGCCTCAAGAGACAAACCGCCTCCATACTTTGGCCGATCAAGTTACGGGTGACTTGAATTAGCGTTACGGGAATCGATGGATTGGCCGTGCTTGTTCGGTGACTTGGCATCCGAGATCTCCGGGCCTAACCTCGCTTTATTTATTTATGTGGGGTGTTACTGTCTACAAGACGAAGGTACAGGAGAGAGTGGAACTCCTGTGTAGAATTATGAATGCTGCTGTTTGCATACGGGTATACTCCGAAATCATGCAAGGGCAATGAACCTCTGTTTGGGCTTAGAAAATTTCTGCATTGAAAAATGTGGCGAATGTTTTCAAAATTTAACTTAATATGCACTTCATAAAATATAAATAAATTCATCTGGCTAATACTTTCTTTTATTTTCTCCTGCACACAACTAAAACGTTCGTGTTTTCTACTAAACATTACCACTCTAATCACGTTCCGACGTATGGCAGACGAATTTGAAACATTATATATATATATATATGCCGAGCAAATTGGCTCAAGTTGTAATGCTTGAATTTAGAAGGTGACCAGTTCGAAAATCGGTGCAGATAACTGCTCTCCTCATTAAGGTTTCCGTAGTTTTCCTCAATCCCTCCAGACAAATGCCTTGATAGATCTAAAATTTGGTCAAAACCACGTCCTTCCACGTCTTTCAAATTCACTATTCACCAGTTATCACATCATTCAACGCTGTGCACTCTGAGTTTCAGATATTGTCACTAAATAAACTTTAAAGTAGGGACTTTTGAAATACCTGTAACTCACATTGCATGCAGAACCAAACTAAGACGAATAAGCAGACAGGAGAAATAATGAATGCAATTACTGAGTACTACTTGTATTTTATTAAAAGATAATTGGTTACGTCTGTGTCAAATATGAAAGAAACATCTGAAAATAAATATACAATATGGCTTCTTTGGAATGTATATGAAAATAGTTCTTTATGCAGCACACATATCATGTAACATCAGTTCTTTCTTCTAGAAACTCTAATGATGCATGACGTATTTCAGATAAATCCAGGTGTTCACTTGCATATATATATATATAAAAGTGTTTTTATGGTGTATGTGTTAGTATAACCAAGATTACATTGGTGAGGTAACATTGTTAACTATCACAGACATAAATATATTTTATACAACAAACTTAAATAATCAAATTCAGTTTGTTCAGACTGCACACAGTGGAATACGAAAATTCTCCCCACATAACGGAACAAAATGGCGGCATGTACTTAATGCAGAGTTGTGCTTAACATAATACTTTACGTTACTAACACCATAGACTTCAGAGTCACCATAATTAACGTAAACGTTATTTCCAAATAATGAATAACAGTAGCCCTATTCGAACTGCTTCGAACTTAAGATCCCATTTTTTCAAATATATGTTAATTTGTAATAATGTTAGAAGAAGTATATTAAATTTAGTTTGTCTAATATACAGCGTTTATATGAGATAATGATGTTATTTGTTAAATTGATTACTTAAAAATTAGTTAATACAAGTTATCCAAAATTTAATACGGGCAGAAAACACGAAAATTTTATAAAATATGTAGAAAATATATTTGGACATGTTCACAAGGAATTGCGCTACAAGCATAAAGTCGACATTTAACTTCACGCCACATACTCACGAGTATATCCAGCATAACACTTTTATCGGCGGTCTTTCAAATAGATCTCAAATTCTTTCGGAGTAAACAATCTTCTTGATCCACCCCAGAAGAAAATTCTGAAACTCTTAAAAGGCTTCCCCGTGGCCACGTATTGGGCCCATTACTTAAGACCATTTTTTTTGACAGTTTGCATTTAAGAGAGGCCGTTCATCGTTACTGAAACGTGGAGGAACTCCAGCAAGTTGTAAGATGTTGACATTCGCGAGTTAGTCATTTTTTGGAAATAAAGAAGTATCCCACATATCAAACAAAATTTCCGTTTGTGATTTCTTCTGCGACAAAACATCCATCCATATCAATTTTCAAATTTCGAGAATCGCGGATATCCTTCTGAGTAACATGAGGGTTTTCACTATCCTGTACCGGAAAGTTGTGCCTCGTAACGCAACCGTTTGTGCGCAACGACACCTCATCTGCAAACAAAATTTTGTGCGAAGAATTTAGACCGCAGTCAATTTTTTTACTATATTAGCTCAGCAAAATATATACTTTTTGGGTTTGTCTTCTTTTTAAATTCCATTTAGTAACTGAATTATATATATATTAAAATTTAATATCTTTATACAGGAATAGTCGATTTTGGAATTCCGAGCTGCAAACCTGTATAGGGACTTGATTTACCAGATATTCGAATATATGAATGAAGTATTATTTCCATATTTTTTCTGAAATTGTACGTCCTCCTATTGACTATTCACGAAAATTGCTTCTTCCCTGAATTTCTCGCAATTTGCCTCATATATTATTGACATGCGCAGAATACTTTTCTAAACTCATTTTGAGCGCCCATAAATGAGTTCATTTCTGCCAGCCACAACAAATTGCGTTTTGGCCTTCTCCGTAAACATCACGAAAAAGCATGCAAATCGATTTCAGTTTGAGTGGGGGAACATGTACCGATTTGGGCAAACCACTTGAGGGGGGGGGGTACTGTTACCACATTTACTGCTCTATATTATTCTATTTTCACGCTGTTATTTAAAACTGTGCTATGGCACACCTGTACACAAATGTGACTGCACTATCAGTTTCCTTTTTCCTACTAATGACCGAACACAGAACACCCAAAAATACTGCAAAATTTAATGCTAGCCCTAACAATGTGCACGGTAGCCACAGCTGTCACAATCGCGATAGATTTGTTGGAGGTGATTAGAATGCTCGTTTCCCATTGCTTACAGTAGGCTACACAAATAAACTTGAAATCCATAGTTTAAAACGCATTCCTACCGATTATAGTGACTTAGCAGTCTAAGGTGAGTACTTTTTTTTATCGTTCGAACTCTTGGATCATGGGTTTGAATCCCACTAGGGATATCGATTATGTTCACGTGTTTCTGGTGTCACATGTCGGTACAGAACTTGAGATGGTCTGACCCACCATGTCCAGAGAGTCCGCCAACTGTGTGTGCAACTGAGAACTTTGGAAATTCATTGTGAATACAGACAGGCCAGAAAACTTAAAACGCACAGCCTAAAGAAGGGAAGAAAAGTGTTATTTCTTGTTAAAAATTTTCAAAAATATAAATTGTCATATTAACAAGAGAAGCAATACATTTGTACAGGTACTCAGGTAGCTGTAAAAGAGGAAACCTTTTTTCTTCTTTAAAACATGGTGCGAATGTACGTGAGAAGTGGATCATTTTGTCAGTGCGCGCCAATCGGCGGCTAAGAGGATTCTGTGCTGTCAGTACCACGAATGTTCAAGCCACATATAATAAAGCTAATTGGTCCCCTTGCCAGCTGTATTTTTCGATATTTTGCAATATCTTTAAATATTAAATGTGACACTTTTCTATAATCATATTTGCTTTCGAAGAAAGATTTTCTACGACACTAAATCACTAGCTACTTTGAAGGAAACATAACAATAACATAAATTTTGTGTCTACTTAACACGAAGAACGTGAATATATTTTTAAAAAGGGTAATACATATAACAGAGAGAGGAAATCACTGTTATGAGGACCTCTGATTCATTTCACATGTGCAAGTAATAGAATGATACGTTATTGCTGAGAAATTGTGGTTGCCTTGGTAATAACAGAAACACAGTCGTGAGAGAAATGCTCATGAAATATTCAGTACAAAAGACCATAAGAAAATAAAAATGCTGGCAGACTCGGCTCCAGAGCACAAAGAATGGGAGCGGCCCCAATATGACCCGCCCTCAGTACCAGATCAATTATAGTTTTTTATGTATGTTTCAGCATTTATTTCTCACAACACATGGACCTTGTAAAGGTGCACAGGTCTGAAACTAAAAACAGGAAATCATTTAATATTATGGAAACTGACTGCCATTTTCTTAGATGAGCATATGGCCACAATCCTTATAAATATTCTGATATGCCCAACGGTTCCTTTTTAAGTTCAAGTAGGTATCTGTGACTTGAAGTTACATTACTCTGTCTTTATTATCACGTGATGAAGGGGAATGTATTGATGATGGGGACACCTTCAAGGTTTAACATCATGCACATGTTCGTGATCATCATTATCATCGTCATCATTCTTTCCGGTATTAGGCCTAATGAGACCTGTTACGGAGTTTACAAAACAAAATTCTTCTGTAGTTTCATACATCATTCCAAAGTTCCCTTTTGTTTATCGTGTATACAAATATACTAAGACTGTCTTTAGTATCCATTCTACGTGTCTTTCCAGTTCTTTCATTAACTCATTTATGAAATTCATAATTCTGTCATCATTTCTTCATTTCTTTAGCCGTCCTCGTTACACGTGTTATTGCTTGTACCAATATGCTTCTCTTTATCTCTGTTCTACTACCAAGCCATAGCTCACACGGTTAGTCGCCGGATTCTCACCGCGGTGACCCGGGTTTGACCCCCAGTCAGGTGGGATTTGTGGTGGACAAAATGGCATTGAGGCAGGTATATTCCGAGTACTTCGGTTTCCCACGCTAATTCTGATTCCATCAAATTCTGCATAATCGTCTATCATCTGTGGCTGGCCCAAAAGGTCAATTAGTGACCGATGTACCAAGTGGACTCAGTCTCATCCCACAATATGAGAAGTAAAAAAAGAACCTACTATTACTGTAAGGTAAGGTTGATCTAGCAGGTATCAATTTGTATTATTATACGCCTAGGAATTAATAATATTTGGAAAACCTGATTTCTAGTTCATAGTATTCTGAAAAAAAAATTCAAATTGTCACTTTAAAGTCATTTCTTCATTTACAGAAAAGTTTATATTACAAAACAAAATTTTGCTTTGTTCCAGCAGTCTATAATCAATGCACATCTTGTTTCTAACTTCCGTTCCACCCGAAGTCATAATTTTAGTCTCATCATTTCTCGTTATTAACTCTATAAAAAGTAGTTTAATAAATTTTAATTAAAAGCATTTTGAATCCTTTGGCTTTCTACCCACAATCATGATGAAAGGAAAAATATGAATACTCTAAAAGTCGCTACCACAATTTGTTTTCTTTTTAGAGCCAGAAGTTAGGCGTGACTCTGTTAAAGGCCCTTGAAGATCAATTTGCACATAAAATTTTCGGAAGTTTGCGACGGTATTCAGTGGTCCGTTTCATTTCACTGAATTTCTATTTGTACTGTAAAGCATTGTAAATTACTAACAAACAAAGAAGAACATGAAGATAGAAACAGAACAGTCGTGAGCTACACTCCATCCGGGCTTCATTGCTCTGTATATATTGTGCTAAACGAAGGAATTTTATAGGTCCTCACCGGAGAAATCGTAAACTACTGAGACTCCAAGCAAAACAACACGAATATTATTGTTAAAATCCTATCGTGCTATGAGCCGTGTCAGCATGTCAAATCAGATCCTTATAAAGGGGACAGAGACTGCCACCGAAACGTCGGGAATTTGTAACCACCTGGCACGACTTATAGCCCTAAAGAATTTTATCAACTTCAGCCGTCCCGAAAGTTTCAGGTCTTACTATATGAATCTCGGGACAGTTTGGAATCGTCACAATCGGCCGGACTTGGATTTTACGTTGCATGTCACACTTGAACAGATCCCCTTAGCGAGACGAAAATGTCACTGTCGGAGAAAACTGCTGGCTTTGCTACCAGGGATTGGTTACACCTGCCATTGGCGCCACATTCCGTCTGAAAAATAAAACACTTGCTCTCAGGAATTATACTACAGCACAAACTCGTTAAAGAACCTTTGAATAGAGACGCAGGCATTTTAGTATATCGATTATAGAGCTTCTTTGTAATTCATCGTGAAATTCTCCTCATCTTCTTATGCATTTTCCTTCACGTTCACGCAGAGTGTTCTCAGGACTTCGAAATGACTAATTCGCTTGGGGGGGGGGAGAATTCCTCCAAGTAGTCTCGTCTCGTGTACTTTTCAATATTCTTGTGCGTGCTACATGACCCATAGCTTTCAATCTCCTTGATTTGATTACCTGAATAATACTTTGTTAGGAGTACAAAGGTAAAGTGATATAGATCTCATCTGCGTGCCCGGCCGCCCGCCTACCTATGGCTCTGCACCACGTGTGAACCTTGGCCGCTTTTTCAGTTTCTTAAACTATACACAGTCAACAGGACTCCTTGGACGGGGATCAGCCCATCACAAGGTCGCTACCTACAAACAGAACAACTCAAACACAGAATAAACCCACACAACCATCCATGCCTCGAGTGGGGTTCGAACCAAATATCCCAGTGTTCAAGCGGGAGAAGACGGTTCTTGCCTCAGACAGCGCGGCCACTGTGTTCGGCATGATAAAGATCTCTGTGTTTAATTAAGCATTAATACATGAAGACACGAGCCGGTCACGATAGCCCAGCGGTCTAAGGCATGTACTGTCTTCACTCGCTTGGAAACTGGGATCGTGGGTTCGAATCCCACTCAGGGCATGGATGTTTAGTTTGTGCGTGCGTTTTTATGTGTTTGTGTACAGGTAGAGGCCTTGCGACGAGCTGATCATCCGCCCAAGGAGTCCTACCGAATGTGTAAGATCTAGAAAAACCGAAGTGAACGGAGAAGTTCATGGAGGTAGGCCTAGGCCCACTGGGGCTGTAGTGGCAAGGAAAGAAAATACATGAAGACACGTGGTGAAGTGTAGGTATATTAAAGCAGGAGTTATCTAATGCATAAACCCAAAGTATAAGAATCAAGAGCATTCGTAACTTCGGCAATACCTGGAAGTAATTTATCAGCTTCATTCGTACGTCGCTTTGCCTCAGAAGAAAAAGAAGAAAATATGCCCTCACCGGTAATCGAATGAAGATGCTTCTATCATCTGGCCAGTACGGTAGTCACTACACTGACGCCGCCATTCCGGCTTCAGAGAGTGAAAAGTAAAATTATGTTAATGTGTTCGAGAATAGCACAGTCTGCCATCACCACTCAAGGCCTATTTCATTATTTTTATCTCGTTTTATTTAATTGTTTATTGGCCTATTTTATTACATATTTGTAAATTGAAATCACGAAATTCACACAACCCGTCTTATTTTGTTTGCCGCTACAGCACCAATTTGGACCTAGGCCTGCCTCCATGAAACTCTCCATTACACTTCGGTTAACTAGATCTTAGACATTCGGTAGGACTCATTGGGCGGGTGATCAGCAAGGCCTGTACCTGTACACAAGCACAGAAAAACGCACATGTACACAAAAACACTAATCATCCATGCTCTGTGGGATTCGAACCCACGGTTCCGTCTTCCGAGCAAGCGGAGACAGTGCATGTCTTAGACAGCTCGGTCACCGTGACTGGCCACACAATTCTATGAGTTCTTATTTATGTATTCGTGTTATATTTGTACATTCCTAGTTGTTAAAACGCCAGTACTTACCGGAAATTGTGCCCCGGATATGCAGGGTTGCGCGGCCGGAAGCCTTGCATCGTGATACCTGCCTCCATCTTGCCGCCTCCAGTAGTCGGTACTTGACGCGACTGAACCACCACGTTGGCCGCATCAGCGACCTGAGGTGCCTTCTTGTACTTGTACCACCAATACTCGAAAGCAAGGGTAATGCAGGCTAGGCCGATCCCCACGAATATGACGATGAATACTCCACCTGTAACCGTAAACTGTGCTGCACGCTCTACGCTGTGTAACATTCACAGTTTCGCAAGGAATGGAAAGAATTTCCGTTTCTCAACTGCACGACATCGCAGCCGAGAGAGCGGTAATCTTCATAAATGCAAGAGTGGGAACCTCAAATCTCACACAGTAATTGTTCTGGGGGAGTTTACTCCACGTAACGTCTGCAGATTCTACTATATCGTTCTAATCAAGAAAGTCAACTTCATGGCGTCACATTCCAAACTAGTCACGGCCGTGGCGGAGTCAAATTTTCTTTCGCAGTCTCTGTTATCAAGGCCCACATCTTTCCAGTTCATTCTTCTTAACTTAATCGCCCTAACGTTATTGTACTACAAGTGTAAGTTGTGATGATCTGTTTTTAGTTTCTTGGGGAGGGGTGAGGCTGAGTCCACTTGGTACGTCGGCTACTATTTGGCCTATTGTACCAGCCCCGGATGACAGATGATAATAATGAATGTGCAGCAATCGGTGGAATGAGAATTATCAGGGGAAACCGAAGTACTCGGAGAAAAGCTCCCCCGGTGCCATTTTGTCAACCACAAATCCCACATGACTAGACTCAGGTTCGAACCCGAGCCGCCCCGGTGGGAAGCCGGCGACTAACCGCCTGAGCTAGGGCACGACCTACTATCTGCCCCTATACACAGATTATATTAATCCAGTGCCCCGGAAGATTATTATTAAGACATAATCAATTCATCAGTGGGATCTTATTTAGGGAGGTGCGGGGGGGAACCCAATACAGTGGTTAGCACATCCTCGTGTTCTTGAGACTCGGCTAGAGAAGGGCAATCCTGAACGAGGGTTTTCATGGCTTCTGTCACTCCCTGGATCTGAATACTGTGGTAAAATGGTACCTTGAAAGAACCCACGAACCATTCTTTCCATTACCTTTAAAAATCAGCATATACCATCGTCCCCCACTTGATCTACCAGTGTAGCTGAGTAAGCGTCGAAAAATAACCCAACATAAGCATCAAAAGTTCTGACCAGCCTCAACCCTCGTTTGACGAAACAGCAAAGTGACTTTAATTTCTTACTCAATGTACGAGTACGTACTTTCAGGAAACAGCCGTATGTTTGCTGACTGCATGGAATTGCAATGATAATTGAAAATTGTGTACCGAGCAGGAAGCTATAGTCGTGATGTTCTAGAGCTGTATTCGGGAGGTGTTCGGTTCGAATCTCTGCCGGGACAGCAGCTATCCTGACTGCATTTCTCGGTCTTTTCATCCAAAAATTACGACCATACCTCGAATTGACCATGACAGCTTCCTAACAAATTCTTTCCATTTCATTATTCACCGACCATCATGCCATGCATTGCGAGATAAGGCAGCATAACAAACTAAGTCACAAGGGAATCATCCATCCTGTTATAATTGCCACATCCCATATATGTCGTTTCCTTCAGACCGCCTCTGTGGTCTAGTGGTTAGAGTTCTTGGCTACAGATCCGGAGGTCCGGGTTTGATTCCCGGCGCTACCAGATTTTCTGAGAAGTAGTGAGTCTGAAACGGGGTCCACTCAGCCTCGTGAGGATAATTGAGGAGCTATTTCAAGGAAATAGCGGTTCCGGTCTAGAGAACCGAAATTAACGGCCGTGGGGATTCTTTAAGCTGACCACGCAAGACCCTCTATCCGCCAAAGTTGACACTAACTTAGCCGACAAGCGGCGGTCGCTCGGTCGGTATAGTTCGCTTGCGGACTCAATCCACGGAGTTCTATTTTCCTAATTATGAAATCTGCGAAACACATTCCTTGTCACGTACCGATATTCTGGATACTAATGCCATCTGTTTGGTCGTCTTGCTTTTCACAATTCTTCTTCTTCTCAGGATTCTGGTTCCACCACTTTTCCTTCAACTTTTCCAGTTTTCTTTTGTTCAAAAGTTGCAGAATTCTGTTAAAGAAATCAGTTTCAAATTTACTACAGGATTATGTTCAACAAACGTTTTTAAAAACATAATATCTAATACTATCTCAATGAAACAAAATCGTTGAAAGATGACGGGTGTCAAGAAAATTTCGGGTTCGGAAACAAAAAGGTTCATTTACGTGTTCATTTGAGCCAGCCTCTGGATTCTATGTTGAGACGATACGAGTTCACAACCTCACACCTTATTTCTATTAGATTGGTTGTAATATTATCTTTCTACCTATGCCTAATCTCTCTGCCTCAGTTTTTCAGGATGAAATTGGATATATATTTTTAATAGCTCTCGTGCGTACTATATGTCCTACCTATCGCGTTCTCCTTGATTGGTTGACACTAATAATATGTGGTGAAGTGTACATTGTACGAAGTTCCTCGATAGGTGTTTTCTTCACCTTTGTATACTTGCTCTCTATTAGATCGTAATGGACCCTACATCGCGTTTTTCTCACTCGCCCTTAATTTGTGTTCATTCCTTAGGATCGGATATTGAGTTGACACAGGAAATGACAGATTATAGTTTTGTATGTTTTAATCGTTATGTGTATTTTCACACAGGACACGGGAAGACAAAGTATGCTGCAATCAACGTTCATTGAATTTAATTTTGTTGTTCCTCTTGAACTTAATTTTGAACTATTACCGCCATTTTACAATGGGCCAAATATTTATAAACAGTTCTTATGGAACAAACTATTTTCCATTCAGATACTGATAGATAGAATATTGTGTTTGACTCACGCGTTGTTGAACTGATCTTTGAGCGGAGATCCTTGTTGTACAGCAATGGCGTAAGGTTTTCTGGAAAACTCTTCGCCAACCATCTGCAAGTCGCAGCTCGTCAGAACCAGGTATCTGATATCTGTAGCATCGCCTAAAGAGACCCAACATTACTGTACATTTATTGCACACAACATAAAAAGGTGTCATATCCATAAATTGTTACATTTAATAGTATTTATTAACAATAAGGTCTAACTTCCACCCTGGTGGAAGAACCCGAGCTTTCAGCTCAGATGCTTCCAATATTTCCCTTATTATTTCATGTTAATTCGTTGCTCTTGAAATGTGTTTACGGCGCCGTTTCCTAGCAATGGCCGCATCTTATTGTTCCATTATTCCAGCTTTCAGCCGTCATGTCACAATATGAAAGAAAACAATTCGACTTCATCCTGGGCCAGTCGCTTCAAATCCAGTCTTGACAACATATCACCATTAAAGATAATTGGATCTGTAGACCATTATACCTACTGTACACCGTGAGACAAACTTGGTGCCAGTCCTCGTGCTCCCCCCACTTCTGGTGTTTTACCGGTCCGTGAATCAAAGAAGCTTCAGCATCACAGTTTCGCCTATTCAACCCGGCACAGATCTGCTTATGCTACACGCAGTATGCAGGTGACAGAGAAGTTGCCGAAGTAGATAGGGGATCTACAAGTATCAGGATTCCTAAAATGGCATGACACTTGATATGCATACACGTATGCTACTTCAGGTAACTAAAGCTGTAGTAGCGTTATGCCGGGAAGAGAAGTGGCTTTACCCTAGGCAGAAAAAGAACCTCGGATATCCAGTCTGTATCCACCCACTATATTGATTAAACCCTTCCGAATCTTGCTGAAGGCTTTAATTTCCTTTGGTGTGCGGGAAAAAATTCTGCTTATAAGGACAGAAAGGAGAACACTTTTATAACACTTTACTTTGCTCGTTTTAAACCTTTGATATATGAGTATGGTACACTGTGCATTGTGTAAGAATATTTACTTTGAGTTACTTTAATAAGGGTAAGACTTCAGTGTTCTTACCGACATAAGCAAACCCCTCACTTGACGACTTGGATTGGAGGACTCGGTCGACAGCTTCATCAAGGGTGCTTGGAAACTTGGCCTCTTTCATGGCTTGCCATATCTTTGTATACTTATCACTCACTGGATAGTCCCACACTGCCAGCTTGGCTCTCTCAACGTCACTGAGACTGTCGTTGAGACTCATGTCCTTCCATATGCTGCATAAATCAAACACAAACCATATTATTAAGACCGCCAACTACAAGAGCTTCAAACGTGGCTGCGAGCGAAACAAAAACACGACTGAAAAGCGGGTGCTCCATAATGCAGTACATAAAATTCCGAACGACGATGTGTACAATTCATTAAGCTGTCTTGCGACCTGTTTATAGGCGACACCGGACCAAAACGCGAGCTATATAAGATAAAATGAGAAAGATCAATATTTAAATCGTATAACAATCTACAATATCATATTACAACTAATTTTGTGAAGCAATTTATGCATGGACGGGACATTTACGATTTTGTGTAAAGTATGTGTTGTAAGAGGTCAGTATAGCTTAAAATACGTATATATGACCTGTTAATGTTGTATAAAATCCTCTCATACGAAATTTAACAAAAATTTGAATAAAGCTGTACAATTTCATTTATGACCTTACATAAAATTTTGTCAGTATGGCTAAGAATAGAAGAAGTAAATGTTGTGCAACAATCTTTTATGGTAAATTTCGCGAGCATTTAATTTAAGCAGATACTATAGGGTTCTGACGATTGTGTATAACACCCAGAGATACTGGGTTTTCGGACTTTGTCCAACGTCCGGATTCTAAATAATTCTTTCTAAGGGACCCAACAGAGTAGGTGTCTTCCCTCACCTGAGGAAGGAAACGGATCCAGTTTCCGAAACGTTGTGTTTTTTTTTAGTTATTTCGAATCCGGACGATGGAAAAAGTCCGAAAACCCAATATTTAATTTAAGGTTTATTATATGCGAGAAAAATTATAATATGAATTTCCATAAAATATTGTTTATACGTAGTAGATAGCTGAATTCTTGAATTGTAATTGTTCATAGTTTCCGCCACTAGTGAGAGACATCAGACTCTTCTACGAGTAACAGCTGCAGTTAATTTCTAACATAAATCGATATGCGGATGGTCGATGGTTGCTGACATTAATATGGCGGATCTACACGGGTGCCAAATAAATCACAGAAACTATAAACTTCAAAAAGAAGGCTGAACCGGATCTCAAACTTACTTGTAGAACGTGGTCTCGATATCAGACATCCGCTGGAAGTACGTCATTGATGCAGAATTGTTGAGGGGCGCGTATTGGATCTTGTACTGCTTGGCGAGGTCGTCCAGGGACTCCACCGGTGTGTCCAGACGGGACACGGTGAGGAACGCTGCCAGGTTGGCGGTATAAGACGCAATGATGATGAAACCGAACAGCCACCACGTGGCAGCCACCAGACGTCCAGACAAGTTCTTCGGGGCTTCTCCGCCGCCCTGAAACACAATTCAGACGTTACCAAAATATTTTGCGCTGTAAGTCACATTGTTATTTAGACCTCATGACAACTGCGAAAAATGACGTCTTTTGGGATGTGATGCCGTGTAATCTGGTAGGTTCACCTATGTTCTTGAGGAGAGTACTTTTTGCTTCAGAAGATGAAGGAATTGTGTTCCGAGTCGGTAAACTTCAGCCGAACTACACGTGGTTACAACCCACAAGACTGCAGTAGTCTTCGGCATTAACGTCTTTCTCACCTCCCATATTTGCGGTTTTGTATTGCGAACAGAGTGAACTGAACAAATAATTAATTTTAATATAAAGATGTTCACACCTAGTTTCACAAAAAAGACGACTGACTCATCCCATGAGCAGATCCCTTTTATATAAAAGCTGAAAATAGTTGTGTTGAATAGGTCAAAAGACCCTCCCCCCAATATTTTTATATAATGCTAAGTTTCATCCCGATTCTGAATCAGTTGTAACTAATCAACCCTGATCTATATCATTTTATGACAGGCTATATTATTATTATCCTCCCAGCTATGCCTGGGAATCAACGTAATACTTTTTAAATGAATGTTACACGTATTTCTCATTTCCCGTATGTACTCTATGCATGTGGCTTTTCTTAAAGGCGAATTTACGTTTACAATTCTGAATTAAATCATGGAACGGAAAGAGACGAAGAAAGGTTGTCATTAGGGCTCGAAAAGGACCGAGATATTTTCTTAATGTAATGCAGTTTTCTGTACAGCGACTGTGCTGTATTTTGAAGAACTCTGTATCTCATGGCTCTTGTCGAACAGAGTGCAGTAAATAACATGCGCCTTGCGAGACACTTTGCATTTAATTATTTGGTAGGTCTGGAGCCAAATGTTGCCCAGTTGCAGGAATACAGCATGAGAATACTACCTCTTACTTTCGGCATTAATGAATTTTTTGTTCTTTATAAAGTAAAATGTCACCTCGTTGGTGTCTCCACCTTATCGTGGTGAGGGGGTTTGAGTATGCCAAGGACCCTGAGAGCTATACCAGCGGTATCGTAGCTACTGGCAGGGCCTCCCTTGCTGGACAGGTCAAAGGGTAGGCATCAGACGAAGAGAGACACCAAAAACTGATGCCGGAAGCAGCGTCATCAGCAGCGACTTGAAGCACAGAGCAAATGATGCTCGAGATGGTTCAAGTTCGTATAGCAACAGGCGTGACCAGAGTGGTTTGAACGGCTGCTGTACTGCGATGTGGAAAGCAAATGGAAAAACTACCACATTATCACTTTTCCTGGATAGTCTCTTTCCAAAAACAGAAGATCGCATTAAGTGGAGGAACTGTTTTGGAAGAGACTGTGGACCTGTCGTCTGACAGATTACTGATGAATGAATGAATAAAGTAAAATGTATGTGTGTGTGGGGTGGGGGGCCTTATGAGGAGTCCATTCCTCTCTGACTCTCCATTTATGCCCTAAATACAGAAAATTTTTTTAATTCAATATTGGAGACTTCAAATTAAAGTTGTAGAGAAATTTCGATTTTCAGCCTTATTTATTTATAACAAAACTTACATTACGTTAAGGTCATAAATGAACTTTTTCACGTATACGATAAACCGTTATTCAGATTCTGGTGAATTTTAACACAAAGAATCTTCGGTCGACCTCCGAATCGTCGGTAACGATTAGCCACACTATACATCGTCACATTCCAGAAGACAGGAATGGAAATTCACATTTATATAATATCCCTTTATTCCAGTTTTGGTGAAATTTGATATGAGACGACTTTGAAGAACGTAAGAATCTACTTGCATTGTTGGCACGCTGACCGATTAAAGATCTTTCTTTTCATAATACCATAAATAGAGTTTTCTATGTGCCCCATAAATTACTTCGAAGTTTTTCTTTTGTAGTTCGATACTGTGCATTATTTTACTGATAAAACATGAATTTAGTTCGTTTTGTCCAATATATTTTGTGCTTTGTTGAATGTCTTTTATAAATCGTCTGCAAATAAGCTTAACAGGCTTCAAATAAGGCAGTTGAGAATTTTGAGTTTAATCTCTTCCTTTGCGGATGTTTTTAGAGACAAATACCTATTGCTTGGATCTGAGGTCCTCATGGCGGTGACTATGAAGCGTACGGTCTCGTTGATTGTAACACCTTGTGGTTCGAAGAGCGCCCGACGTACCACAGGAACACGTCACCTCCATCGTACTCAGCTTCCTGCCTACTTCTACTTGTTTCTTTTCGCTTGGCTTGCTCTTCGGCCCTGATATGTTCCTAGAAACGTGGGGCTCTGTCCGAACGACACGGCCTTACAATCCGGGACACTGCATTCTTCACTCATCTTAGTTGTTCGCGGTGAAGTAAATACAGTTTCCTTCTGTCTGTTTTTAAAGGACATTTCCTTGTACTGAAACAGATTTTGCATACGCTTTGTATGTTTAACATGCATCTCGAACTGTCCAATTTTTTTCCTTAGGTTCTTTGTTCTGCGTTTTCAGTTTCTGTGACAGCTAAACGCGTGGTTACCTGAGGTGTGAGGGACGTCATGCAGAACCAGAGGCATTCCTTGAGGTTGAATTCTCTTTTTTCCTCATCATCCTTGTATTTCTCTCTGTTATTCTGGTAGCTGTAGGGACTCCAGCGATCGAATACCCACATAAGGAAACTGAAAGCATGAAAAATAACAATAATGTTAACATCAGTTTTCCCCCATAGCTCGTAATTCCAAATTTATTATGTCTCCTTTAGAATCATGTCTAGTTCTTTATCTGCGCGATTTCATTTTGTCTCGCGTAGTAAATATATGCCGAGGGCCACGCCATAGCTCAAGCGTTTAGTCACTGGCTTCCCACCTCGGCGGCCCGGGTTCGATCCCGGGTCTAGTCAAGTGGGATTTTTGGTGGACAAAGTGGCGCTGGGGCGGGTTTTCTCCGAGTACTTCGGTTTCCCCTGCCAATCTTCATTCCACAAAATTCTCAATCATCATAAACTACTGGGGCAGGCTACAATGGGCCAATCAGTGGCCACCGTGCCGAGTGGACCCAGTCGGACTCCACACCCCACTAAGCGAAAAAAAAAATTAAATATATGCCGATCTCGTGAACAGTAGGCTCTGAAAATTGTTGTCTTCTGGGACGTTAGGCCTTGTAGTCTGCTATATAATGGTGCCTCTGCCTCACAAACCCATATCGCTTTTCTACGCATGACATAAACTTACACTCTGAAGTTTGAGGCAGCATATTCTTCTCAGATTCCGATATCAAATTATTCGGCGTTACATCCCAGAAGAGAGCACTTCCATCGTGTCAGTCTTATATAATATTATACTTCTCATCCTATTCAAATGACTGCAGTCTTTAAATGATACAAACTCCGTCCCAAGTGCAAACAATATATATTATATGTCTTTGATCTTGCTCTCTTCTACACTACATGTTTCGGCCTCTAACGGCCATCATCAGGTGTATACTCTTACGTTGCTGCCACACTGAACCCAGTCTAAAATTTAACATTTAAAAAACACATTGTTATTTTCTTCGTTATTATCAACATCTACCTCGTTGATATCTGTCTGGTATGTAGATTATTTTGCACACGTCAATTTTGATTTTCCTGTACTAGCACTATAAAATCTTTAGTTATAATTTTAAAATCCTTTAAAATTTTCTCTAAATTTTAAATTTAAAATTTAAAATTGTTAGGGTTACTCGCCCTATGTCTAAAGTCTACAGGACTACAGGACTGAAGTCTATGTCTATAGGAAAATCAAAATTGACGTGTGCAAAATAATCTACATACCAGACAGATATCAACGAGGTATATGTTGATAATAACGAAGAAAATAACAATGTGTTTTTTAAATGTTAAATTTTAGACTGGGTTCAGTGTGGCAGCAACGTAAGAGTATACACCTGATGATGGCCCTTAGAGGCCGAAACATGTAGTGTAGAAGAGAACAAGATCAAAGACATATAATATATATTGTTTGCACTTGGGACGGAGTTTGTATTATTTATCGTGTAGAGTGCAACAGGATTTTTAAATATAAGACTGCAGTCTTTGATTGTTTAAAGATTTCTTTATTCTACTTAATCCAAATATTATGTTTTTGGACATTATCCATCGTCTTATCTATATCTAAAAACCGTCTTCTTTATTTTTCTAAACATAACCCAGTCTCCGAAAAGTTGTGTTTTGAAAAATAAACAGGGCGGCTTCTACATTAAGACAAGACGATGGACAATGTGCAGAAACATAATATGTTTATTGACGTGAAGTCGTCACAAACTTTCAGATATTACTGACTTTTGCTTTTATTGCTAGTGGGGTGGGACTAAGTCTCTTGTACTGCGGCCACTTCTGGCCTATTGTACCAGTCCCAGATGATAGGTGAGGTTGATTGTGGAGCAATTGGTGGAATGAAGATTGGCAGGGGAAATCGAAGTACTCAGAGAAAACCTGCCCCAGCGCCACTTTGTCCACCACAAATCCCACTTGACCAGACCCGGAATCGAACCCGGACCGCCGTGATGGGAAGATCTCATTTACTTAATCCAGCGTTCATTTTCATGTTTAAATTGACAGTACTTCATAAATTCTTATTTAGGTTTCATCTTCTCATTTAACGTTCAGTATACTACATCTTTAATAACTTCTTTTATTGGCAGATACGTTGAATCTAGCAGAACGATCCTGTGCCAACCACAGAATTCGCATTCCTGAAAGTCACCCTGGTTGGTAAGACCAAGACCTTAAATGGCATGATTCACTGTCACAAAAATACGCACTGCAGTGCCGAACTTGAAGACAGAAAACGGTTTTGGGTGCCATTACAGATCTTCCAACAGTATATGTGCATATCTTTGTGTGGGATGTATCGATTTCTCGTTCACATATACGAAAATTAATTCATGGATAAATAAAACAAATATGGCAGTTTGTGAAACAAGATGCAAATGGATATCCGGGATTGGCAAGGGACTTCCTTCTTAAATCTACGTCTAATTTGTGAAAGTTATTGAACAATAACATGATTATAGGAATAAATGTGAAAGCAAGCTATAAATCTCCATTGGAAGAGCGGGAGAGGCGGCAAAATATTTGAACCTGGTGAAGAAGTATGCAGCAAGAATGCACAACCAAACGTCGTTTTCTAAGACGGTCAGGAATTTGAAGAGTGAAGTGGCAGTTTTGGGTTTCTTCATGAGGATGGTGATGCCCACCAGGTCGTAATACGGCACTGTGAAGTCCACCACGTTCTCTCGTTCTGCCATCACGGATAAAGAGCCCAGTCCAATGTCCGCGTTCTGCAAAGTTCAAGAGCTTTAGTGTTCTCTTCCAAATACTGCTGTGCATACAAGAGTAATGTAACGGTGAGATGGACGCTCTCAAGTTAAGCAATTTCGGGCAACCAATTGTCGAGCGCTAACATGTTGCATGAACGTATGTTATGCAGGTAACCAACGAGCAAGCAGTCTTCTGCTGTAATGTATCGCGTCTATTCTGTGAATTTTGACAATGTTATGAGGTGAAGTGTAGAATACTATACTTTATAAACTGTACTAATACTATACTACAGTATACTGTTCTGTACTGTACTTCACTGTACTCTACTGTAGCTTACTCTACTCTACTCTACTCTACTGTATTGTACTGCACTGTATTGTATTGTAGTACTGTACTCTACTGTACCGTACTCTACTCTACTCTACTCACTCCACTGTACTCTACTCTACTGTACTATCCTATAAATGGATACGGTTTATGATTCAGCGTTTGTGTGTGTTATTCGTGGGAGATAGCCTTAAACCTGAGGCTCGACTGGTGAGGAATATAGGAGAAAACGGGTAGAGCTAATAGCAGAAAACTTGCATAACTCATGAAGAGAATTCCCCCCTACCCCCGAATGCTTAACGAATATTGCAATAGTTTCCCTTATTTTCCAAACGATTTTACCACGAAAATACGTAACACTTCGAGAAAAATACGCTGTGGATTTAAGGTATAATGACGAGGAATTCACTTTCTTTGAGAACACTGACAGAGGGTTTAAATTTATGTGATACCAAAAATTTTAAAATAAAAACTAAGAAACGTAGACATAATGAAGTTCATGACATAATATCTTTCGAAATTCAAGCAAATACAAATTTTATTTAAGAGAATGTCCTATACCAGCAAGAAAGGAATGAATCTACACTTTCACGTTTTTGCAGGTGAGAGAGAAATTGTTACTCAATCATGGGTATGGATAAGTTACCCTAAGGTTTCGTCCATAATTTGTTAATTTCCTTAAATTCTTCCAGTAACTTTACACACACATATATATATATTACTGATAATAATAAAGACAATGACGATTATAAACTTAATAAGAGTAATAACAATAACATGTGCATTTGTTGGATATCATTCTGATACAAAATCTTTTGCAAGTGTATCAAAGTTAATAAGATCCAAAAGTTTGAGATGATGGTAAATTGTTACAATTAATATGTTGCTGTACATTATCCATCATCTTGTCTGTTCTTAAAAAACCGTCCAGTTTCTATTAAAAACATAACGTTTCGGGAATTGGAATCTGTCCCCGTTTTCAGGTAAAACCTACGCAGTTGGGTCCAATAGACAGAGCTAGCCCCTATCTCCGGACTCCGGAGAACAGACAAAATGATGGATAATGTCCAGCAACATATTAATTGTATCAAAGTTGCTTACCACTCACAAAAAACGATAATAAATTTTATGTACAAGTTCATTTTAAGAAATTGATGACCATGTTTTCGTTTTGATCTATTGACCTACATTACATCCATTGTTGAAATATGATTTAATTCAAACTTACTCATTCTTGCGTCTCACCTTCAACATAAGCTCCTTAATCATACCGTTCCACTTTCCATTCTCGTCCATGTTCCCGAATTGCTTGTCCGGAGTTTCGTAGATCTCATAGTCGAACTTGGTGATATTTCTTATTTCGTCTATAAGGTCAATGCAGTATCCTTTGAATTTCGTCTTATTCTTCCCATCAACTCCGTCGTACATCACGAATGGTTTTTGCTGTTTCAAAAGACAACTCTGCTTGATATGAACAGCTATGACACATTAAACATGCAACAAGAATGCATAGAATCAGAGATAACCGTCTTGAAATCATTCTGTTGAAGAAAGAACACGGGAATCGTTGATGAAATGATAATCATGTAGGTTAATGTGTACAGTAATTCATATTTCTTATAGAAAAGGGCGTGCAATTTGAAAGTGGCGGATAAGCGAAATCTTGATTACAAATGACTATCCCATTAAACAAAAGGAAATGATATTGTCATGTGACTTTAGACGGGTTTTTGAACTCTTTGACACAGCGCGTGACTACATTTTACAGTTCACTATTACACACAGGCTTTGTGTCCACAGTCACTTATTCACTACCGTTGTTTAGTAGCAGCTTCCAACGGTGGACTTCCCCTTCCTCTGGGTTCCCGAACAGTTCCGGACCTCAGCTACGTGCTTCTAACGGCAACAGTTCACAACGACTGAACCATATTAGTTCTCTAAATAATTCACTAACTCCTCACTGACTAATTGCAACTGTCAGTGTCAGAGTTACTTTACGACAGCTGTTTATCGTCAGTCAGTTCCTCTTGGCGCCAAGCCCATTGAGACTCACGACCAGAGATTTTTCTTTGCGACTGGACGCTTGCGGTCATATTCCTTATATAACAACATCTCTGACGAGAGGATTAGTTTGTCTCTTATGAATACGCTTCGCCTCCGTCAAGTGTACGTATCGCACATTAAGCGTAGGTCTACATGGTTATGGGGAATGCCTTTTCTTCCCGGGAAGCGGCCAGTCCGATAAAAGTGATAATTTGAAATGAAGAACCTCTCATATGGTTTGAGATGTGTCTCTGAGAGCAGAGCAACATCTATACATAAGTGTTGCAGCCGTTTACTGAGCTCATACCACCGCCTCCAAATTCCATTTGCATCAAATGATACGAATTTGAGCGGCTTGTGAAAACCAGCAGCCGTTTTATTTCATAACTGCAGAGTTAACTGATCCTGTTTATAGCTTCTCGGCACGTACCGCGTAGAAAACACCGTTACCCTGTTGCAATGAAAATGTTACTGTGGAAACATGTTTGTTTGTGGAGCCGCTACTTAGAAACGGTTGTCATATAATTGCTTATTTCGCGGTCTTTGTCTAGCAATGGTTCTAGGTGCCACAATATATAAATGGTAATTTTTGCAGTTAATTTATTCTTTTGTGGGTTATAACATATTCTAAAGAATAGCACTGTGAACAGAATATAAAAAATTAAAATATGCAAACCAGTGTTAAAATTATGTGAGGTATGATGCATAACTTCTGCTCTTCTCCAACTATAATTAGAATGATCAAGTCAAGGAGGGTCGGAATGATCACGAACTGAGAAAATTATATAAAATCTCTGATCTCTCAGCGCATATGAAAATGATAAGTTTGGAGTGGATGAATCATAAGATTGTATCAAACAAAGCTAGTTAAGAAAATAATTGAAATTACGGCAATAGGCAAGGGAAGAGGGTGAAGAACAGACTCAGAGAGCTTTGTTTGTGGGTTGGGGATTGAAATAGCACAACCGCCTCCATGAGGCGTCCTTGGAAGCAGCAGGTTGGCCTGCCTGAATAAGGATGGTGCTGTCCTAACTTAAAGTGTGATCAACCGTGACATTGAGAGAACAGAGTGGTGAATGGGGCCCTTTGTATACAAGGCGACATCTAATTGTGCTTGGCCTTCACCAGTATGCTTAGCTCTGTGGACGGTAATAGATTTCCCTTGCAGAAGCTGTAAACACGCTCTTCTCTAGGGGCTGACGGCTCGGCTGGTACTCGGTTGTGGGTGGGTCCATTTGAGACAAGTAATGGGGACTCTGCTGTCCCTGGTGGCTGGGGTTAACCAGAATTTGATGCTCAGGAAGAGAAACATTCCTTCCTTGCATCTAAGGGCGAACATATTGGGGTTTCTGATATTCTACTACTGTGGAGAGGCAGTCAGAATTCTATTAAGAAGTCAATTCAGGGTGAGACTGAAAAAGGTCTCTTCATGATGGTGAGTAATCTGACCATCAGGTAGCATAATCAGACTACCAAAGAAGTGGGCTTTTTCATGGAGACTGAGGGCTCAGGTGTAGTTCTGTTTTGTGAACTGGTATCAGAAATGCGTCTCGGCTGTTCCTGTCTGTAAAAGGCAGGGCTCGACTGGAGATATGTCCCGTCAGCATTCATTCAAAGAGAAGACGAGGTTTCCATTGTGGTCGGGAGATCTGAATCAGGGTTTCTTCTGCAGAGGGCCCTGGTTCTGCTATTCCTGCATTGAAGGTCTCAACTGTCGGTCTTGTGTCAGTCTCTCAGGGGTTCCGGTGAGGGTCCCACTGAGGGCGATGTTCAAAGGATTCTTTTGAGGGGGTTAGTAACTTGATTGTGAAGCAGAAGAATCGGACTGAATAGCAAGAAGGGGAGCAGGAACAGAGAGTCTCTACTCATTGACGCTGAGATCTCGGCTGGAGCTCGGTTGCAGGCCCAGGGACCAATGGTGGGGGATCTCCTGCCCCCGACAGTGAGCGACTGAGGTCAGCTGAGATTCCACGCTGTCATTAGTCCGAGATAAAAGGACACTTTGTCGATGAACGAGGGCCTCGGTCTGGACAGATTGGAACAAATTTACAGTCGGGGATCTGAATAGACCGTGAAAGGTCCAGGATGCACAGTGGACCCCAGTAGTGGGTTGAGCACTGGGAGAAACTTGAGGTTGCCACCTCCTTCAAAGTCAGTTTATGATACAAATGAATTTTATACAACCCCTGATACTAATAGTGGATGCTAGAAGAAGTCTGAGCGTTTGGATTATATGATTATAAAATAATTCAAGGGTGGCTATGAAAATGTTTTGAAAGTAGGGCAGTAGAAAGAAGTAAAATGTGCAGGCCAGACTGAGATAGCCGATGATGTAGAGAATGATTTACGTGAGCTGAAAGAGAACAGGTGGCAGAAGCTATTAAGTAGCTTGGGAAAGAAATATAATATAGAAATTGTAGCTGAAGTTTAAAAGTAACTGACCACGACTGTTACGATCCGGTAAACAGTGACAGCAGAGTGTTTGACCATGTTTCGGGCGTCTGTCACATCCAGAGGATTCGTCAAACTCGCATTCCAACTGGCCACATCGACGAATTTCGTAGGAATACTGTTCAGGATGTTCACTGTTTTTACTTCCATCTGGAAGGCCATCAGACTCTGTCCGTTGCTTTTAATCGTGAAATTGCCGTAGGATTCTGGGTGAGAAACCTGGAATAGTACACATATATATATACATATCATTGGGACTCGTAAGATATAGGTACAATTATCCCTGGGCTTCATCAATTAAACAACACGCCACGGAGACGTATGGGGAGTAGAGGCATACTCCACCATTGGTGACCTCGGCGATTTATGGGAGTGATCGGTCAGCTTCACGTCCCGGCCGCTTTACCCCCGGGGAAAGAGCTCCTGTACCCATTGGATGGGCCCAAGAGATGATCTGGGTGCTGTGGAAAAGTAAAATCCCTTTCCCTTATCGGGAACCGAAAACTGGCCGTCCATCCTGTAGCCCCACGCTATATCGATATGTAGAACTTAATTTAGGGGGAAGTTTTTAAGAATTTCGTTTTAACTGCTTTTGTTTTTACCTGAATATTGAAGGAGCGATTCCCCTGACACGAGCATCATAGATTAAAGTGGCCACGTTGTCTAAGGTGTACAACCGCACTTCGGCTGTCACTTCTCGCAGCCGTTGTTCACCACTTCTCGTGACCGTTGCCTATCTATCTTTATGTTTATTTATTTGCCCGCTTCGGTAGAACACTTTTGACTCTTCTCAGGGTTGTGTCACGGTAATAACTGGGGCGACAAGGAGACTACACATTTAAAGCTAGTCCACTGATAGAAATAAAATACTCTATTTCTGCTTAATCACAATATTGTTTAATTCAGAAGCAAACACTGTATCCTTATTGGCAAGTAGGGAGTAATGTGCCCTTTTATTATTATCAAAGATTAATCGAACCAAATTAAGACTGTTAAATTTAGATATACTTGGAGAGAGCAGGTAAATGACGTCTACCTCTGGTGAATTCAAAATGCCAAGTGCCTTCTGCCTACTCTATTCTGCGGGAGCGTCACTTCATCACTGTATTGGATTTGAACGGACGGCCTTTCTCCCAGACAAGAATAGTTTCCTAATGGCTGATTTTAACTGCCAGTTTATCATACCATCAGTACTAGACAATCACATTACTAACTTTGAGAATAAAGAGATCCAAAGATATTGAACCCCGAACCCTACATGTGAAAGCGGTTCTTAGTTTAGGGTCTAATTAGACCCTTCCGAAGACACTTTTATAACAGCTACCCTATTAGCAAAACAACATTTACATGTTCGGCCAACTACGGACATGTCCTTTCATAATTGCCTCGACCCTTTCCGGTCACCCAAGCTGCAGGTAACAAAACAAAGGCAGTTGTTCCTATCTAAATACGAAAATCAAGTTATAACTTCTTAATGGATGGGTCTCCCTAATAAATCAGTCACTCTATTGAAATGGCTAACGAGGAACATAGCGTCCATAAAGAGCATTAAAAGGTTTGGACTGTTACAGGTGCTGTCTTATACCGACACGCGAACACTATGATCATGGGTTCAAATCCCATGTATGTCTGAATTCTTCTGTGTCTGTGTTGTCCCGTGTAGGTACAGTCATTGTGACGGGCCGGCTCCCTATCCAGGGAGTCGTGTGAAAATTCTTGTTACTCCGCAAGACCTTGGACCCCATTGGTCTGTGGTGCCATGCAAGAAGAAGGGTCGGTTCCATCGGCAATTCACATATTTCCAGCAAAGAAATTTATTTTGGCATAGGAATTTCTGGGTGTGGGGGTTTAACCTGTAAATGTCCCTCCAAATAGTTTACTTAATTCTCTGTAATGTAATCTGGTACACTGAAAGCGTTTAGAGCTGTGCTCTCAGTTCTAGACACAGAAAATTTCTTGGCGCGTGCTCGAGACACCAAATATAATTCCTCTGATGCACACCATCCGCATTCTGTGTCTTGTCTTGCCTTCTTCAACACAAACCATTACTGACATATGCAGATTAGATATCACAAATATGAAGAACCTAATATTTCTGTTTTGCTAGGTGGACTATTTAATAATTACCTTTATTTCTCTCTTAAGTAATGCACTTCCTAACATAGCATCCTAACATTTCCACCCACTTGAAGTTCATGATCCTATCTCAGGGTAAGAAACGTGCTTGTGGTGGTGCCGTAGCTCAGGCGGTTAGTCGCCGTCTCCCCACCTCGGGTTCGATTCCAGGTCAAATCAAGTGGGGGTTAATGACGGTCAAAATGACAGTGAGGCAGGTTTTGTCCAAGTACTTCGGTTTCCCTGCCGATGCTCATTCAACCGACTGCTCCACACTCATCATCATTTATCATCCGGGGCTGGAGCAATAGGCCAGTTAGTGGCCAGAGTAGAAAGTAGGCGCAGACTCATTCCAAACTACATACCCCCCCCATCCCGAAAAAATCTAGGAGAGGAGGCAGCTGGTGAAGTTGTTGCTTTAACCTCCAGTCTTCGTGATGAACTAACAGATATCTTACTCTTCCTTGCGACTTCCTTCATTCATAGGAGCTGGTTCTCGTGGAAATCGGGAACAGATTTTTATTGCCACGACGTACACGTACGTAAGAATGACAGAGTTTCGCACTTACCTGTTTAAGGGCGGTCAGCAAGTCAGCGTCGCTAGTGGAATGGTCAGATTCCTTGTAATCTTCACAAGTGACATATTTCTGCCTGTAGTCAGTACCCTGCATCATTTCCCTATCAGACAGTTTCAACATATCTCGTTTAATTAATTCAACATAATCTTTAAAGAACGTATCCTGTTGTTTCAACTTACACTAATTGTTTGTTTATCCGTCTTAACACAACTCTCAAAATCTCGTTCACATTAACTGTGTATAACGAGTTTGTTGATTTCAATGATATCGTGCTACATGTTTCGACTGCCATCATCAGGCAGATATAAGCTTATAACTTATTTTTAAACTACTGAATTGCATTCTGTATGGATATATGTCACAGTATTACAGTTATTACTAACGTAGCAGATTTTCAGCATTTCGTCAAAATTAACACCACTATTGCTCCTATATATCCTTTCAACCAGATTAAAAACTTTATGTTAACTAATGTTTACAGATGTTTATACAATAGTATAACGTATACACAACGTAATAATAAATTATAAAGGTTTAAAGTTACACGTAAAAATACACTTAGACGCTGAGTTAAGATATTATTACGTCGTGTTTAGAGGTATCATGTATTGTTAGATATTAATGTGTGTTTTTGCAATCATGATATTATATTATGTGGTAATTTAGGGCCGCGCCATAGCTCAAGCGGTTAGTCGCTGGCTTCCCACCGCCGTGGCCAAGGTTCGATCCCGGGTCTGGTCAAGTCGGAATTGTGGTGGACAAAGTGGCGCTGGGGCAGGTTTTCTCCGAGTATTTCGGTTTCCCCTGCCAATCTTCATTCCACCAATTGCTCCACAATCACCCTCACCTATCATCTGGGGCTGGTACAATAGGCCAGAAGTGGCCGCAATACAAGGGACCTAGTCCCACCCCACTAGCAATAAGAAAAAAATGGTAATTTATGGTCATTGCTTTGCCTATGCTTCAGTTCTTTTTTCTATTTACTTTTCATATGAAGCGGTTGTGTTGCTTGGAATCAGTCTACGTGATATTGAACACTGTTGTTTTCCCGTCTGATTTTTATGGGTTCCCCTATTTTCCGCGTTTCAATGTCCGATTCTGTTAAAAGTTAGCTTGCAACCGGTTGAGTTATTGAGTTGTTATGCTGTGATGGATAAACAAACAATTAGTAATTCAACATAATTTTATTAGGTTGTTTATTTAAGATTAAAGTCTGCTCATCTTTGTTATAGGCATATTTTCGACGCCCCGCGGAAAAATCTTCATGTAGTTCATGCGGACAAGGTTCCTTCTATTGAAGTTGCTGAATTCGATTACAATTGAACAGTATAAAATTTAATTTAAGGCGATACTAATACTACTTTTGTTCCGTATATACTGTAACATGACGGACTAGCGACTTTCAAAGAGGTAACAGACTATGATTTGTGAAGGTCCATGAAACTGTTAGAGTTACCGGTTCTTACGACGAGTCCAATACTCGTAAATTCAGTAACAGACACAAACCGCGTGTCTAGTCAGTAACATATGACGATATGTATAAGGTGTATTGACAATGGCCTCGTATTATATTCAAATATTTTATGGGTGTTGTTTTTTATCTAGAGAGCAAGAGTGACATTGTCAATTTGAGGTATTTGTGGTTCTTCGTGCATTATTATCCATGTTGCTAATTATTGGAAACACAAACTTGTTATTCCAGAGAGACCCTACATATCTATGAGAGGTTTTGAGAAACAGAAGAAAATCAATTTCAGTTTCATATGAAGTGTGGATTGCTACTGAACCGATACTAACCAAACCAGATTTGTTCAGTAATTTTTATTAAACCACTAAAAGGGCCTACAGATTTTGTTCAGACCTATTAAGCAATTTCAGGTTTGAAACATGTGAACAGAAAGAGAGGTCCCCCGTTTTTGAGTCACTTTTTATGCCGAATAAGGAATTCATAGGAAGATGAACGGCATCTTAATATTATGCGTCCTGCTGTGTGTCATAAACAAGGTACATAAAATGTATACAAAAGTATGCAGTCTACACAACAATATTCTGTATTCAAAACAAAGTAGACACTATTGTATCAATATCTCTTTTTATTGACGCTACATTTCAGAGACTGGGCTTTGAGATATGAACAGTTCATTAAATGGTGAATAGAAGGCAAGCAGCAAAATGTTATGAGAAATCCATTCAGGTTAGACCGTCTGGACAGATTAAGCACAATCTGAAGGCTTTCAGACTCGTCAGACAACAAAATGTGCTCATGAGTCCTGTGGGACTCGGAACCATGAACCACTGTACTGACGAGAACCAGCAACAATTTAGCAGTAAGTCACTTAGACCGTCTGGACGGATGAGGCGCGATCTGAAACCTCCCAGAGCAGACAGAGAGTGAAATATGATCATGAGTCTTGTGGGAATGTGAACCAAAAATCACTGTGCTGGCGAGGTCTAGAAGCAATTTAGCAGTCAGTCAGACAGACCGTTCCCGACCTGGACTTCAAACAGAAATGTTATATTGTTATATTTTAGCGTCCTGTTGCACTGATTTATGTCCGTGATTTATTCTAACCGTCTTACAGTGCATACATTTATTCACCTTACTCTTCTCTCTTGCACTACATGTTTCAGCACAAAAGTGCCATCTTCAGGTGCTTTTCGATGTACGTCAAACTACTTCATTGCATGCCCTGTTGTCTTTATACTAAAATATATATTGATAAATTTTAAATATTAAAAATATTAAAATTGTTCAGGATTTATCATCCTTATGTCGTATCTCAATACGCGAATCACACCTATCTTCTTCTATCGGAGTATTCTTCCTACTTTCGTGTGTGTATTGTGTTTTGTGTTGTGTCTTGCTCCTGTGACTGCGTGTGTTATACCTTATTCAAACAGAAACCTCTCGAATACGAGGCAGAAGTTGTGACAGAAGATTCTAACTTGTGTGCAGTAAAACTATATTCGTTTAGGCTCTTGGTAGAAAACATTGATAAACTCACTTGGTTGCCAGCAATGTTTTAAGTGCGACGTCGAAGTAGAAGGCTGCAGTAATCTCTGGCGTATTCTTCAGATTGTACTCGTCTCTCAGTGTTACGTATTGCTCAGTGTACTGTTCGTCTGGTTTCGGTCTTGCGAAAAACACTGTAGCATTTCCACAGTTGCAACTGATGTCTTTGCTGTCCTGTAACAGAAACATACACAGGAAAATTTGTAGTAAGCAATTATAAATCTTTCGTCAAATCATGATGACAATAATAAAACGAACGTGAAAGTAATTTCTGTGTTTAAGCGGCCTCCGTAGTCTAGAGGTAACGTTCCCACCTCATGACTCGTAGTACGCGGGTTCAAATACCCGGCGGAGGTCGTCGAATTTTTAAAGGCGGAAAAATTCAGGGAACAAGTCCTCCGGGAGGGACTTTAAGCCGTGGGTCCCGTGTCGTAGCTTTACGGCACGTAAAAGAACCTCATATCTCCAAAGGAGGGCACTGAGCCAAATTACGGACGTTTCCCGCCCAACAGCAGTCTCTAATACCTCTGGTAGATGGGGGAAGCATTATAGATACCTCTCAGCTAGTAGAGCCTGTCTCGCTGGCTGGGCGGGGCTGATGGTAAGCACCAATACCGGTAGGAGATAGAGACTGGTAGAAATCACAGAGGGAAGCACAATGGACCAATACAGGTCTAAGTGCATGCGGAAACCCACCCTCTCCAATAACTAACTAACTAATTTCTGTGTTTAAGCACATGAACACGAATTGGAAATTGGAGATAAATGTCCAGGAATTCTCAGTTTGGTAGGTAGTAAAGTGAGTAGTAAACTTCAGGGTGCTGCCACTTAAATTCGTGGGGAAGAGTTCCCCGTACGTTGAATATGACCTCTGTGGGCCCTTAAGCTGATGTAGATAGGGCAGAAGAGGAAGAACTCCTCCCTGCTTGAAATTGCATCACAGTCATTTTATGAACTTAGCTTCAGTAGCATGGATATACCGTAATGCTTGTGCTTCACACAGTCCGCGTATTTATTTGTTGCGTACTGACCACAATGTCCATTATTTATCGATCCTCAAGTGTAGTCGGCAGTTGATTTCGTGAATAACACACATTTTCAGGAATTACTGAACTGCAGCTTTATCCTCTCTTGGAATATCCTCCGTCTGCTTAGCGTAAGTGTACTCAGTGCCTAAAACTTTTCATGTTTCTTGTGATTTCCTGTATTTCTCTCTTGCAAAATATAGCCCCACAGCAAAATACTATGTGAAACTAAATGCGACTGCTGAATCAGTAAATTAGAGCGGCGTTTCTCAAATTTTTGGTCCTGCGGTTGCACAAACCTGCTCAAAACATTTCAACCTCCTATCCAGTAACAAACAATGTAGTTAGAAGTCGATGACAACGCATACGGTATATATTTCTTCACTCACTCATGCAGCTGAGCCCTTCTTGAGAAGCCGCCAATTGTTCAGCCACTCATGAAATTACCAGCATTTTATGGAGCCCGAAGGTTCATTACCGTGTTCACAAGATCCCTCCACTGGTCACTATCCTGAGCCAGATCAATCCAATCCATATCATCCCATCCTATCTAAGATCCATTTTAATATTGTCCACCCACCTACGTCTTGGTCTCCCTAGTGGCCTCTTTCCTTCTGGTTTTCCCGCCAGTATCCTATATGCATTCATATTCAACCCCATGCGTGCTACATGTCCTGCCAATCTCATCCTCCTTCACTTGATCATTCTAATTATACTTGGAGAAGAGTATAAGTTCTGAATCTCACATACGGACGAACACAACTTCCTTCATTTGCTTTCGTTTCTCGTACTTTTTGCAAATACTTCCGCCTCTGTGGTCTAGTGGTCAGATTTCATGGTTACAGATCCAAAGGTCCCGGGTTAGATCCCCGGGGCTACCAGATTCTATGAGAAGTAGTGGGTCTGGAATGGGGTTCACTCAGCCTCGTGAGGATAAGGTTCTTTTTCAAGGAAATAGCGGCTCCGGTCTAAAAGAACCGAGATTAACGGTCGTGGGGAACCGTTACGCTGACCACGTGATACCCTTTATCCGCAAAAAGTTGGTACTAATTTCGCCAACAAGCGGCGGTCGCCTTGTCGGTATAGTTCGCTTGCGGAATACAGGTCACGGAGTTTTTTTTTACTTCCGCATAATCTGCAGAAGAGGGACCACGCGTAATGTTATACTGACCGAGGTGATCCCATGCCAGGCAAACTGACGCTCGAATAATCCGTTTTCCTCCGCACTGTCCAGGACTTTGTTGATGGTCGAAATGCGCCCAACAATGAAATAGTTGAAAATGTCCCGCTCTCGAAGTCGTTGCAGTTGCTCTTTTCCTTCTTTCAGGTCCGCCTTTACAATCATGTGGCGGGTTGGAATGTTTTGCAGCAACGACTTGTACTTGTGGTCCATCACTAGAGAGAGAAAGGATACAAAAATCGCAGTCTTTATCACGGAAGAATCAGAGAACGGAATTGTGACATAAGCACGTATCGTTAATAAAAAGAAAAATGGTTCATAAAGTGGAAAATTGTGGTACAGATGAATGCATAGAAACTGAAACAATGTCGTTAATTGTTGCTTGTGTCTTGTATTCGGGGTGTACCCATTTCGAATCTCTGCCATGGCACCGACTATCACAACTGGGTTGTTCATAGTTTTCCTCAGTGTCTTCAGGCAAGTGCCGCTAGAGTACCTCATAGTAGGCCACGACCAATTTCTTCCACATAACTTCCAACTCACTGTTTCTACTATTCGACTCTATAATCTGAGATCCTGACAGCGTATTTGAATAAACCGTAGGTCAAAGGGTGATTAGTGAACAATGAATTGGTAAGGATGTGGAAAGAAACTGTAGTGGAATAATTTGAAGTAGTACCCCGAAATTTGACTAGACGGACTGAGGAAAACTTCGAAAACCCTGTCCAGAATAGCTGGTCTCCAGGCCGAGATATGATTCTCCGGACTTCCCAATACGAAAGCGATGTTCGGTAAGGAAATAATTTGTATATGAACATGGAGATTACTGTCTTCTGGGATATTTATCTACGTTTCGAAGGAACCTGCTCTCTCCATTTTTCTAGCCTGAAGATCGGCTGAAACGGAGGTGCGGAAGTGGCTAAGACAACAGTCAAAAATTTCTGTGCTGCGGGTTTCGATGCACTGGTAAAGCGATGGGACAAATATATCAGTGTTGGTGGAGGATATGTCGAGAAATAAATGTTTCTTTTTCAGCTTCGAATATCAGATATTTTACGTTTTATATCCATTTGTAACTAATTTACTTACTCTTCCTCGTAGGTACACAATAAATAATTTCAAAATACGTTATAATTGATCATGCAATGTGACTGGATGACGAGGTATCGACTCTTGGTGGCGGAGTTTCTTCTTTTTCTTGCCACCACGAGATCGCTTCTGGGTTCCGTCAAGTCTTTTCTCCTGTAGGTTCCCTGGTTTCCCTCACTTTCGTTTAAGGTAACCAGATTGTGAGGACACCACTCACTCCAGCCACATGACGATGTTAAGAACGCGGAGTGCTTCTGTGTATATCATACACTCTTTCAGGTTAATGTATTTGTTTAAGGGAAAACATAACCTGTTCATTATTAACATAGTTTATGCACCACGTTTGGAGGTACGTGTTTCTGAGGATGGGTCTGAAATGTTATAGTGATAATGATATCTGTATAATTAAAAAGGCAGTCTCACCTATAGAGTCGTCGAAAAGTATGCCAGCATTCGTGATATTTTGAAATATAACGATACTGCGAATTATCTCTGGTATAATGTCTGCTGGCGGCATGATTTGTATCAAATAGCTCTTCTCTGCCTCTTCCAGTGATCGCCACTGTCTGCAATGTAAGTTGCGCGATTGAAAATACATGTTATTAGTAATTCATTCTTCCTGCATTATGTATTTGGGATTGCAACATTTGTGTAGACACTAGTAAACATATTTGGTACATTTACTTACTTACAGCAAGAACAATCACAATTAAGAAAGTGACTTAGTTATTTACTTATTTTTATACATAATACAGTTACTCGTTGTACTATAGTCGCTGGCTTCCCACAGCGGCGGCCCGGGTTCGATCGCGGGTCTGGTCAAGTGGGATTTGTGGTGGACAAAGTGGCACTGGGGCAGGTTTTCTCCGAGTACTTTAGTTTCCCCTGCCAATCTTCATTCCACCAATTGATCCACAATCACCCTCACCTATCATCTGGGGCTGGTACAATAGACCAGAAGTGGCCGCAGTACAAGGGACTTAGTCCCACCCCACTAGCAATAAGAAAAAAATACTCGTATAATTACACTTTATTTTAAGAAAATGTCAGGGCAAAGAACATGCATTTCGGCTAGGCCAGCTCTATCTTGAGTAAGCTATATTGCATTGCATCAGCTGCGTCACCTGAGGTCTCCTTCTTGACCAAAAGAGGTGCTGACCGTGGGCAATGCAAGGGCCGCCGTTACGGATTTCGCTGTCTCGGACGGTACGCCACTCATGGTAAAGTCCAGCACCACGTGCGGGCGCTTGTCTGCCTTGATAGCTGCGTCATATACACTGCACACTGCAACCCCGAACATGAAGTTACAACAGTACATCAACTGAGGAGTTTATACGACGCTCAACCTGAAGAGAACTGATGATTATGAACTGGGAGCGGAAGTACGTATCTAGTCTGATCTGTTATGAGATGTTACTCCGGCATGTTCCTGGAGAGACTAAAGAGAAGCAAGATACAGCTAGTTCGACCATCGATTTTCAAATCGGGTGCCTCTCATTATGAAGAAAGAATGCTAATAATTACGTCAAGAGGAGGAGCATTGGTCTGAGAGAATATGCACTACGTAATTCTACAGCTCTGTTGCTTTGTAAGTGATTTATATTTGTTCAAGAGAGAGAAGTTTGAAATAATAAAAGGTAAGAAGTAAAGTTGATTAAGCGCCAGGCTAAGATAAATGGTGAAGATCGGTATAGCCCCATGCATACTTAACCGCAGCTCTATCTAGATGGAAGTGAGCGGTCACGTTTTCGCATCGATGGCTTTATACCAGAGGATAGAGCCCTCGGTATCCAGCGGCTGTGTGGGACCTTGAGCCAGTTTAGAAGCTATGGAGAAGAGAAAAATCTCCTGTTCAAACGTGAATCGAACCTCGATTAGCCATGCTTGTGGCATAGTCACCTTGTTATCTCAGCTCCGTGAAATAAATTCATTCCGCAAACTGAATTGTGTAGCCCCAGAAATGTTTCGTAACAGAATCTGTGTTGCAACAAATCATTAAGCTTTCTCAAGAAAGTAACAGAATTCCTTGTATGGAAATCATATCTGTATGGAAATCATATCTGTCCTTCTGTCTGTATATGATTAATATCAGTGCCTGAATTTTTGGAGAGATTTTCTTGAAATACGATGTAGGAGACATTCAATAACAATTGTCCCGCAAATCCAATTTTCAGTCACATTGAACCATAATAAAGCTTGGTTTACGTAAGAACATGAACGAATTTTTCTGTGTATTCCGTAAACATACCATATATTTAACTTAAATTCAATATGGAAGATTTTCATTATTTTATTTTCATTACTCCCATGTAAATTTAGTGAATTGTAAAAGTGCCGGCGGTGATTTTGTGCATTATATTATCTACTGTTAATGATCCATGAAGAACAAATTAAATACGATTGTAAACTAAGCATCCTCTATAGTCACATTTTAATCGAACTTAAGGAATATTAGAAAATAGCCAATGAAATAAACAAAGATATTATACTAATTGTTCACAGTGAACCTCTGACATGCTTGTCCTGGCGTTCTGCGAGTGTATCACAAGTATTTATGGACAGAGACTAGTTCTTCAAGGGTCCATGTCGATATAAAAATCTGGAAAATTAAATTGTCATTTTTATATAAATATGTGAGATGATAAAATCAAGGGACATTCATTTAAAACCCCGAGTGGGAAGCCTGTGATTCCAGAGTATATTCTGTATGACACAGATTTGTCAAGTATGAACTTAGAAGAAAGCTGGTATATGTATGTATATTCACATTCTTACCAGATGTCAGGAACGCTTGAGCATCAGTTGTGTTCCCTACTGCGGTAATAATTTCACCGATCTCTACTCCTAGATTTGAATTCTTTTTTACGTAATCCAAGGCAACTTTAAATGCCTCATCTCCTATGACATTTCGCTCCTCATTTAGAAACACTGCAAATGAATAAAAAATATGTAGTTAATCATTTATGGGCCTGGAATAGAGAAGGAATAAAAAATATACTGCAGCTAAAATGTAAGACTATGGATATATAGAAAAATGGGAGGTTATAGCGAAAGCTTAGAGCATAGAGGGGAAACTTTTCAAAGCTGGAGAAAAGAACAGAATTATTTGGTCCTGTTATATGAGAAATAATCTTGATCAAAGTATTAAACAGACTTCAGCTTTTGGGAGAAAATCGTGACTCTTGCTTTCCTTAAAATTGTATAATGTATATTGTGAGGTTAGCAGGCATTTGAGACATGTTTTCTTCATATGCTCCAATGTTTATATATATACGTGTATATTGGCTAGCAGGATATCACATCACCTTGTTTGCTCCGATTACTCAAGTGCATAAGTTATTGTGAGGTTAAGTGGAACGCCTGCTTCCAGATGCCATTGTACAGAGTTGTACTCACAAATATTGATGGGCGTATTTGCCGCAAGCGGAGAGTTATCCAGAGTGACGAGGAAGAAGAGAGTAACCAGAGGACTGATTCGCTCCATCTTTACTATACTCCCTGCTTCACCGAAAATCCTGACAAAAGAAATAGAAATATTTATTTTTTACCCTCTTCGATTTCTGTGCACTCACACGTTCACAAAGGACTCATAAAACCTACCGCGAGCAGCTTCTCCTTCATAATTCAACGTACAGACCTATTGATTGATTCTTAGGTTATTTACCGACACGGTTCCAATTACAAAGGCTATACTTTGTTATAGAGTCATAAAGTGAGACTGAGGAGGAGGTGCTTTGGACGAAGCGTAAGCCATGAATTTCACTGAGAAAAATAAGATCGTAAAATATACTCGAACCCGAAGTGCATGAAATTCCAAGAGTACTCCTTGAGATTTTGTTTCCCTCTTTGGTCTTATTCTTTGATTCCAGTTATAAATATATTGTTAGAATGAGATAATCAGCAGCTCTGCTAATGCTTATTATTAGCAAAATTAACAAACAGCACAGAATTTCACCGGACAGATTTACTAATTATTATTTTTTAAATACATAACATCTCCAAAATATATATTATATATGGTAATTAAGATCTATATTTAATATTACGTAGGGGCACGCGGTAGCGTAGTTGGTTCAGGCACTATGCTACAAGCCAGACGGTCACGGGATCGGATCCTAATGAAGTGGATTTTTTCAATTTACCTAATCCATCCAACCGCATTATGGCCCTGGAGTCGACTCAGCCTCTAACAGAAATGAGTACCAAGAATATTCCTGGTGGTTAAGGGTGACCGGGGCGTAAGGCTGACAACCTCACCGCCATCTGTGAGCCAACTATATAGAAAATGTGGGAGCCTCGACCTCTCACAACTCTATGGGCCTCCATGACCTGTTACAGGGATAGCTTTTACCTTTATTTAATACTACGTATGGTCTATTAAATTTTTATTAATACTTTGTTTTAGACAGTTTTTTGTCTGATGCTGAATTAGGGGTTATATTGGGCAGATCGGGCTTAAATGTGAAATTTAGATTTCGCCTTAAGCTCTGCGGATCTCCATTACCAAATTTTGTCGATATTCTTCAGCTGCTTGAGAGGGGAAACATGGAGAAGTGCACACGGACATGACTCCACCATTATTTACTTTTCACAAGGATTGTCGCCTACGAAAACACTCGGATCTTTTGGCCATACTGAAACAGATTTCAGAATTTTCATGTTGCTGTAAGACAATGGAATTGAAGTTTCCTTAATGAACTCGGTTCTCCATTAACGGAAATATTAATGCAGATTTCATGATAACCTTAAGTAACTGAAATTATGGTGGCGGCAAGAGTAATATATTTCAAATGCAAGAAATCCAATTATTGCCATGTGAGTCCAACTCGGATTCGAACCCAGGATATATGAACACGTAATGACATGTTAATCGCCGGGCTACCGCTGGCTAATATTTTGGAAAACTTTCAAACATAAAAAATGTGTACTTACTGCAAGCGTCGCTTTCCTGGGGTACATCCACGTCAGCAATGGAGCGCCCTCAAGCGACCAATAGCTGATGACCTTCCTGTGTCCGTTGTTACGTGCCTCTTCGGTTTGTTTGTCCATAGCTCAGGTTGCCAGGGAGATGACCAGCAAAACAAGTAGTATATACGACTGTCAGCCACAACCTGAACTCTATATAATATCGATTGTACCCATTCAAATATCACTGCAGATCGATTTCTCTATTTCTGTAGGGCCTAAATGACCAATACTTCTTCTACATTGAACAAGGATAATTCAAGTTGAACAACGTTCTGATCGAGAAGTGATCTTTCAAAATTATTTTATGTCTATGCAAGAAATGTATGTTTGTTTTTGAAAAAGTTACAAAGCCACCATAACGAGTAACTGGACACGAACTGGACGGGAGGGTTTAGATTTTCGGTAGGGACAGTCGGACTTCTACACGTACATATGCCATCATGTTCATCCGGAGCGGATATGAAGCCCTTACGTCCTCCTATCCAGCATGCAGGGGAGCTCTTTTTCATAGGGCTAAAGCCTGGTGAAGCCTATAACTGAACACTCACTCCATTCAATATTGAGGCAAGGGGTACGTGGGACATGGGGATAACCCTCCACGCATTCGTACGCGTATCTTACCTCGGCGCTAAGAGGAGGTGCCTCTGTAGAGTTATGCGTATTTGAAGCAATAAAATTACTATCTAAAATGAAATAATAGCTGCATGACACAAGTAGAGGGCTTTTTCGGACACGATAATGAATCTTCGGGTTTCATAAAACGCAGGGAGGTGTGCAGACAAATTTAGGTCAGAACTGACTACCTTCAACTGATACAATGAATTCTAAATACATTGTATTGCTCGGAGATTATTCAGCACTATAATTCTATAATTTTAATATGGTAATTAAAATTTGTGTTCTTAGTAGGCACATATCTTCACACAAAATAGATAGTAAAGGGATATTTTATTTAAATATGGTCAATCACGTATTATCAGATTTCAGGTAGGCTTAAAAATACCTTTGTTTTTGGAAGTAAGTACAAGTACGTAACGACTGCACTAGTTACTACAGAATTCCAGCCTTTTCAATACAGATAATGTTTACTATTATTATTCAGTGTACACAGTTCTGGTATAAACACATCATGCGTTTGCATGTACAGATTTTGTTTCTATGCAGTCTCGATGCCTCAGTCGGTATAGTGGCTAGACCGTGGACTGGACAACCGCGGAGTCGTGGTTCCATTCTCGGCAGAGGAAGATGATATTTCTTTCTCCACTGCTTCCAAACCGGTTATACGTCTCGCCCATCCTCTTGTCCAATAGGCACTCGGGGATTTCTCCCGAGGGATAGAGGCTGGAACGTGAAGCTAACTACTCACTTCCAGCTAGTACCGAGGATACGAATGCGTGGAGCTATAACTCCACTCCCTTGTATGCCTTCACGGCGTGGTGCTTAAGCAGTGACAAGTTTGCCTCCATCGTTTTACCTTTGCATGCATGAAGGGCGCATATATTGGTCTCACATTCACCAGTGATATCAATGCATATAATTCTCTGTTTGTTTCTTTCTCGCTTAAGAATACCGTAGCTAATCTCGTGTTTTCTGAAAGAATCTTTGTTTGTTTGTTGTGAATGGATATGACCGGGTGCATATACTGATTTCGTACTATCACATGTCCGGAGTTTCGTGACTAATAATGACGGGCTCTGGATTGGAGGACTGAATTTATTGACGCCCTGTTTTACATCCACACTTGATTACAATCAATTACGAGAGCGTAAAATTAATGACTGCTTGAGACCCGCTCCATTCTGCTGGACTATGACTTGTCTTCTACTGTGAATGATTTGGTTCTGATTTACGAATAAATTACGAATGCCGAATGAATGAATCAATTACGTGTCTCCCTTTTATAACTTCGGGGAGGACCGAATGATAAGCAAATTATTCTCTTATGCGATGTGATATGGCAAATCATTACAGCCGTTTGAAAGGAACGTTCTGCCTCCAGCGCCATAGTGAAATCATTCTTCTAGTCACCTGCGTGAGAACTTCATATCATGGAGACGAGCTCCAAGGAGCAACCGAGTAAGTTGGCTTATAGGCCGCGCCGTAGCTCAAGCGGTTAGTCGCTGGCTTCCCACCGCGGCGGCCCGTGTTCGATCCCGGATCTGGTCAAGTGGGATTTGTGGTGGACAAAGTGGCGCTGGGGCAGGTTTTCTCCAAGTACTTCGGTTTCCCCTGCCACTCTTCATTCCACCAAATTCTCCATCATCATAATCACCCGGGGCAGCCTACAATAGGCCAATCAGTAGTCGCCGTGCTGAGTGGACCCAGTTGGACTCCACGCTCCACTAAGCGAATTAAAAAAAAAAAGTTGGCTCATGCTGTAACGATTTTCGGGGGTAATAGGTTCGAATCTCGGACGAGGTACCGACTATCCTGACCAAGGATTTGTGTTAATTTCCTCCGGTCTTTTTAGACAAATTTATGGATAGTACCTCAAACCTGGCCGCAATGTCTTCCTTCCACAACCTTTAAAACAAAAGGCCTTTGTAATTCATTTTTCATTAAAAATCGCCTTATCATTCGAAGCTATATACTCGTAATCTAAGATACTAGCAGCGTCCTTGAATTCACGGAGCACAGCCTTTCTTGACAAGCTGATGGTCGCTGTTAGTCGTATTCCTCTTTTATGGAACTAAAAGCCCGCCACAAGAGCCCATCAAGGGACTCAAACCTAAACTAGATAAATCCGGTCCACAACCACACCATATATTTTTAACATTAATTTCAATGTAATTTGATTATTTAACTTCATGCGTGAAATTTATTCATGACGTGTTAGAAACAAGCACAGCCACTAGTATATATATATAACATGCGTCTTCTACGCACCAATAGCGCACGAACTACACGTACTTGAAGATTTATATGCGCATCAGCAGCAGTGGTCAAGTACACGTCGATAAAAATGCAAGTGGAAACGTAAAACAACTGTTAACATCAAATGAAAGTACAAATACTAACGCAGTGCTCAACATTGTCGAGCGCAAAAGAACTATAAGACGATTTGCCATAATAATATTACGTTTCTAACTGCAACAAAATCGATACCAAGCCTTCTAGATTTTTTTTGTAAATTTTCACAAACTGAATATTGCAACAGTAGCTTAGATACAATACAGTTCACCCCGTAATAAAGTAAAGGTAAAATTGTCCCTATGCTTGACTAATTAAGCACTATGCCATGAAGGAGTATGGGGGAGTGGATGTATAGCTCCATATTTTCTTGACCTCGGCACTAGTTGGAGGTGAGTGGTCAGCTCCATGCCCCGACCTCTTTACCCCCGGGGAAAGAGCCCCCGGTACCCATTGAATAGGAGGTTGGATGAACCCCAGAACCGGTCTGGAAGACATGGAGAAGTGAAAATTCTTAACACCATCGGGACTGGAACTCCGACCCCTCGGTCGTCCAGTCAGTATCCAGTCGCTATACCGACTGCGATATCCCCGTAATGCTATCCGATAAATTAACTGGAACAGCTTTACAAATAAATTCAAACAATAAGAACGTTGGCTAGAGGATCGAAAAAGACAAAGCGAGCAGGATTTCTCTTGTCTGTTTCGATCACTCCGCTACCTGTTCGGTCCCGTACATTTAGAAATTGGAAATTTTAGCGTTAGACTGTGCAATCAGGAAGAGTAGTTAGTATAAGAGCCGGGAAGAATTACCTGACGCTTAATGTAAAACTTTGAGATAGCGGAAGACATATCGATTAATCGCCCGTTGTGGAAAAGAAGCGCTTATTCGCGATACTTAGAGCGCTTAGAGCAGTAGTTGGGCGTTTGATTATGCAGGATTCGAGGTTCTCACAGCAGTGGTTATAAAAACTTCAATCTTCTGGGATACAACACCATGTAGTCCATTGAATGTTAATCTGCAAGGAGGATAGAAAACACAAATTAGTGTAAAGGGAGAATATTTTGAAAAGGAAAGATCTGGCGATCATGGTATGTACATTATTTTTTTTTGTAAAAAGAAAGAAAAGTCCAGGTCAACCTTGAAGCGCCCTCACATTATAATTTCTTTCCATACTCAACTATTTCTCGCGACTTTAAAGTATTAATTATAAAATCAAAAACAAATATTTATAAACTGTGCTAGTGAATATCCAAAATAAATAATTCCTCTCCATAACATCTTTACAATGAAGCCAGTCTGGTTACATGCACCTGTAAGAATGACATTCCCTACCTTGCATGCATTCCTCACACAAGACTTTTTCCATTGCTCCATTGCTGTAATGGTGTATTAGCTCCCCACATTCCTGTTTTCATACCAGTAATTTTTAAAATGTTCACTCGCCTTCCAAATCCTTCTAGAAAACTCTCTCAGCTCCCCATTTTTATTTAAAATAGCAAAATAGGACAACACATTGAAGTCCAAAGTGTCATTGTATTAATATGCAATCATTTAGATATACTTTGATAGTGCTAGAAATTTGCAGCCTGTTTCAATATAGACAGCATGTCAACATTTCTTGTAAATCTTTTATATTTTATGATTTATGTTAATATAAAGAAACTACGTATATACACAGGATTTAACTGCCAGGTGAGGACAAACTTTGAGTATGTGTTCCACACATGAAAGCAAGAAAATGTGTCCGGGGCCACACCATAGCTCAAGCGGTTAGTCGCTGGCTTCCCAACGTGGTGGCCCGGGTTTGGTCAAATGGGATTTGTGGTGGACAAAGTGGCGCTGGGGCAGGTTTTCTCCGAGTACTTCGGTTTCCCCTGCCAATCTTCATTCCACCAAATTCTCCATCATCATAATCACCCGGGGCAGGCTACAATAGGCCAATCAATGGCTGCCGTGCCGAGTGGACCCAGTTGGACTCCACCCCCCACTAAGCGAATTTTAACATGTGTCCGGACAAATTTAGTTTCTGAGTTACAGCTGATTTTCCACTGTGAGAGAACTTTAGTCAGTGTTTTGTTCAATGAAGTGCTGAACATTTTTTTTTAGTTTCATCAGTGCTCTTTACAGATGAGGCATGTTTCAGTAGAGACAGCATCAATATTCTCAACCAACACCAGTGGGCAGAGGAGAATCCTCACTGTGTAATCCACTCTAGGCACTAGCAGGAGTTCAACATTAATGTATGGGCAGAGATTGAGAGTTTGGTATGCCCACATGTCTTGCCACATCAGCTTATATGCAACCACTACCAAGAATTCCTCTTACACTATCTGCCAAAGCTACTGGAAGATGTACAACTGGCAGTCAGAGCTTCAATGTGGTACATGCATGATGGTGCTCCCACACATTTTAGCCGTGCTGTGCAAGATGTTCTCAAGGACACATATCATGATTGACGAACAGGTAGAGGAGAACTTACTACATGGCCTCCACACTCACCAGATTTGAGTCCTCTGGATTCTTATCTGTGGGGACATCTGAAGTCCTTGTGTATGCAGCTCCTATTGACCACACAGAGGCACTTCACCGTCACATTGTGGATGTCTGTCAGACTATCTGCAACTACCCCAGTATCTTTGAACAGCAGCAGCAGTTCATGATGAGACATGTCCAGCCATGCACTGAATCTCATGGACATTTGGAGCACTTATTACAAATGTACTCTTTCAGCTATAGCTCATAAATTAAATGTTTCTGGACACATCTTGATGTGAACAATGTTCCTTGTTTTGGTATGTGGAACTCGTGTACAAAGTTTGTGCGCACCTTTCAGTTACGCCCTGTATATTGATAAATACTGTAATTCACATAGTAAGATATTTGTACCTTCTTGCATGAAAGCTACTTGTATAAAAGCTAATAAAAAATTGTTAGTATGATCTTGTAAACACTCAAAGGTGATGGGGCATTAGGCCAAAACACATTTTCTTTACATAACTTACATGAGAAGTGTAAGGTTCTTTCATCCTGGCTCATGGAAGTTACAGATGTGAGCTCTGATCCGCTTAACTGCTTTTTTTGGTCTGATCACTGGTTAAAGTGTATGAACATCCTGTTGCCAAGTTGGGATTAACTTTTGCTAGAACTGCTGTTTGAGGAAGCCATTAAATATCTTGTATAGTGGGATATATATATGATATGGTCGGTCCATGATAATGGAAAAACTTACTTTCATGTAATTTGATTCTTCACTGGTAGATAGTACATATCCTAACAATCAGAAGTCAAAATACATACATGTCACGAATCCTATGATGTCTTTCAATTCAATCATGTCTTTAAAACACCAGTCATACAGTTTTCTGTTTGGAAGCAGAACAAATTTTTGTGTTCAGTATGCCTTCCTTTAGTGACATATGCTTGGAGTTGCCAAGTTCTACACAGAGTTTCAATTGCTACAAATCGGTTGGATACCAGGCTCTTCCCTTCCTTTCTTTGTATTCACTTTCTACCACAAAATAAAAATTGAGATTGTGTATAATGGATTTGGCTGATTCAAACAGCTAGTGACATGTCATTATTTGGTAGCCACACGGTTGTTGGGAACTGGTTTTTGCTGCAAGCTTTGTTAGTGTCATCAACACCATCACAAGTATTTATCCTATGGAATGTTACAAAGAAGTGCCTGTCTGCTGGCTCTCTGAAGTATTCATTATGGCATGTAATATTTAATACATTTCTTTATTTTTGTATTGGGTATGCAGACCAATCGGAGAAGTAAACATCTTTTTTGTTTCACAGTGATTCAAATGTTTTTTCAGTAAGCTTCAACAGGTGCTGCTGGAAGGTACATACAAAAATGGAAGCATGCTTCTCACAATGTCATATAATTACTAGATTCTCAGGCTGTGTTGAAAGCATCCAAATTCTTGAAATAAATTACAAATTGGGGGATGGTGGCTTGTGTATTGTTCCAGTGGACCCCTTCTGCAGCGATCTTGCAAAATAAATGAATAATTTTCACCAAAGTCACACAAAACAATAGATTCACTTGATTGTAGACTACATTCCAGTTCTTGGAGGAACATAGCTTGTTGGGTTGCAATGAATAAATGAAGTAGAAGTAACAGTTTTTCAACCAATGATTCAAGGAATTCTTCAGTTTATTTTACAGTGCTTACTAATTTGCACCTGTTAAAAGCTACTGTCTGAAAGTGATGTCTTCAATTGTGTTATCGGTGAATATATCTTCTAATTTCAGCCATCATTTCTGATCACTCAGCCATTATTGCAGTCCTCTGCCACCATTCGCTCCTTTCATTCATGTGCACAGCTGCTCGTCAGAGATGAAAACAGCTCTGCTTTCCAGGAGCAGGACCAATGTATAGCTTAGAATAGATTTAAAACAGGATTAGGCGCTAATTCAGGATCGGAGACAGTTAACGTAGTAGTTCTGTGGAAATTCCTTAACTGAATTGTGTCACATGAACTTTATACAGCACTTGGGTGCACTTAACTCCATCTTTTTACCACAGCCATCAGACCCAACCTGTTCATGTCACTGCCCAGCTGCAATGTCTACCCTCATGTAGTTCCATTCCCAGAAACTTGCATTCCTTTCTCTTAAAGGACATTATATCCATGTCTTTTGTTCCATTCTTTGGGCTCAGCATATAACAAGCTAGATTTCAACAGTCAGGCAATCATTTGCATCCAGCTACTCCTGATTATTAAATACTTATAACTGTGTGGATAAGCATAAGATTACATATGTTCTAAATCAGTAGGTCCTGTACATTTACTGCAGTGACAGAAACACAAATTGCCTGAGGTGCATTTGAAAACCACAGACAGTGCTTGTATGGATCCATCCCACACTTACAGCACAATGCGCAAGTGAGAATGAACATGCAGAATTCATAAATACATAGAATGTAGTTTTAACCTCAGAGGTTTAATTCATACTTGAGTAGAAAACGTAACAACTACTACTTCTGTTATGTTTTCATCAATCAGTCAACATTGACAATTTCTGTTACAAGCAAAAAAAAAAAAAAAATCTTGAAGTTTGCTTCAGTAAGATTCCACCAGTATAATAATAATAATTAAACCAAACTGACAATGATGAATACACATCAATGTCTGGAACAGGAGTGATCCAGTGAAGGTCACTGGTTTGAAACAGGTCTTTAACAAAAAACTCCATACGAAAACATCAGCCCCCTTTACGGTATGGAGCACACATTAAGATGTAGGTCTGCTCTGTCCATCATCACCAATCACCAACTTCTGACATGAAATCAAAACCCATCCTATGGGTATCCCCATTTCTGAAGTACATTCCTTCATGTCTGCTAGGCATGTGGGGGCCACAATTGCACAAAAATATCTTAACTAGAGGAATCATAAACTGGAACAGTGTTTCATGAATACAAGTTCTGCACAAGTTTCAGCTCATTCTAATACTTCTAAAATCGTACAGTGGAGTTGCATCATGCCCATATTTAATTTGCATAACTTTAACCATATGCACTCGCCACAAAAAGAAAAATTTGCCCTCCATCTCCTGGATCAACATCAAGCCCTGACTGCACCCAGGTTTACTGTTTTCCTCTTTTTATTCTCTCATTTGCTCTATTTTTATGTAATTAAAAATAAAATGTCTCCACATTTTACATATATGTATTTTTCATTATATACATGGCATATCACAGGATATATACTAAAAACATTTACTTTATGGGCAAATCAAGAGATTTTCTAGGCAATTCTGACAATTAATATTAGAGTCAATTTTACCGACCACACAACATATTTTTATTATTATTACACTACATGTTTCGACCTCAAGAGGTCATCCTCAGGTGTACGAACACAGCTGTATAATTACACGCAATCACATTCGTCTTCTCACTACACATGTAGTGTAATAACAATAAAAATATGTTGTTGTGTGGTTGGTAAAATTGACTCTAATATTAATTAAATACACAACAGGATGCAAGAAACAATTAAAATTCTGACAATACACAATTTTGGGTTTATGTACCATCTTTAAAATGTAACCCCCATGTAACATGCAATTCCAAAGATAAATAAGGGCACTGAAGCTGGTGTGTACTGCTATGGCACAAGGCGGAAACTTAGTTTCAGCCTTGGGCAGTACGCAGCAGTATTCCAGGCAGAAGTATATACCATTAAGGCATAAATTATGGAGAATTTAGATAGGAACTATAGAAATAGGAATATCTACATTCTATCTGACAACCAGGCTGCACTTAAAGCACTTGACAAACACCAGATCAACTCAAAATTGGCCTGGGATTGCCACCAAACCCTCATGGAACCGGCCAAACATAACAGGGTACAACTGATACGGGTGCCAGGGCATGATTGTATTGTTGGAAACGAAACAGCAGATCAATTGGTTAAGACTGGACCTGAACCAGCCTGTGGCATCTCTATAGCAGTTGCCAGAAAGGCAATCAGGGACTGGACAAATATGAATCACAAGATATACTGGGGATCCTTGACTGGACTCAGGCAAGCAAAGGGACTCATATGAGGACCTTCAGCTAAAAGAGCAAAGGAACTGTTGAAGTTAAACAGGAACCAGCTATGATGGATGGTGGGACTACTTACAGGACACTGTCACCTTAAAGGACACTTCTTCAAACTGGGACTAAGTGATAGTCCTACTTGTGACAGATGTCAAGAAGAAAATGAAACAGCCGCACATATCCTGTGTGAATGTGAGGCCTTAGCTTATTTATGATTATGTCACTTGAGTCAATACTTTATGGAACCAAGTGACTATTTCGATGCCCCCATGTACAAAATCTTACGCTTCATTTGAAGCGCAGGATTGCTGAGGGGATAAGAAAAAGGGGAAGCACAACAGATCACTGTAGGTCGCGGTGCAAGGGCTGAGAAGGCCAACCCCTTATACATTCATTCATTAAGATGTGACTCCAGTGTATACTTATGGTGACAACAGCTACTGAATAATAAAGTTAATATCCAATAATTCTTTCTGAACCTACCATTAGGTAACATATATTTATTCAAGGACTGAATCTTTAATATCTACATAAGTGGATGATATCAGTCATGTGTGACATTAATGATTCAACCAGTAACACAGCAAATAAAAACTATTACAATCCTTGTTCATGCACAATCATAAACTTTAAGTAACATTAACAATTTAAATCGGTCTTTGTTGATCCAGATGCTTCCTCTTCAGAACCATTCACTCGCTGAGTCAGGCTACGTGCTATATAATTCCAGTACTCCCTCCGTATTGTGTCATATTCATTTGCCAGCATATCACACAACTGAAATTAAAATACAGCTGAAAACATGCAGAGAGTGCAAAATTATTAGTGCTAAGCTATACATATTGGAACAAACTGTATTTATTTGACTGCTGTTACGCATGTTTTTATTCAGAACAGAAAGAATTGTCTTATATGCATAAAAGAACAAAAATGCATACATTTGATTTGGTGATATCTAGGAAAATGACCATCTGGCAGCTGTGACATAAAAGATAAATTGTAAAATGTTCATCCAAACATTATATTATCAATATGAGAAGCACTGATCATTTACAAATTTAAATAATATTTTAATAATTAAGAGTACGAATTTGTTCCAGTATCCTGTCATTAATGAAGATCTTGTTTCTAACTGACTCTGTTCCTTCAAAATCCATACTTTTAGATTAGTATTCATCTCAAATGAAAATACTGCAGTTCTGTTAATGGAACTATACAATGAATACTGTGGTTCTTCAGATTTGGCCAGAAGGATCTGAGAATCTGCAAACAGCACAGTATCATCATTGAGATTCTTGCTAATTCAGATGTTACCATGACCGGTCAATCTTCATTTCTGTATTATTTTGTTTATTTGTATATTTGTGGTACTGTTATTATAATTATACAACATAAAAAACCTACAAATGCGAGTTTCACCAGCAAAGCATTCTGTGGATATAAAACAGATTATTATGAAGACAAAGAAAACGTTTCTTTTGTGCTTGAGAACTGTATGTAGGAATTCTACATATGTAACTGATAAAATTATTCTCCTTTCAGATTTTCCTCTGGGCAGTCATTTTTACCGTGAGGTAAATACTAACCATCTTACTGTTAAATCTAGTGCTGAAGGCTGTTTAAAAAAAAAACAGAATAACTCTCACAAAGAATGATACTTCATGTTGCATGACATTTACCTGTACAGCCTGATGAAGACTGTCAGCTTTGTCTCCATCAGCTCTCTCTATGTTCTCCTCGCAAATGTCTACTAGGAATGCTAGAAGGAGTGGTGAACGGTTTCCAGAGGAGTATAATTCTTCACAAACTTTCCTCACATTCTGAACCTGGCTGAGACCACCGCTATGATGTAAAAGTACTCTACAGAAGAAATATATTCAAAACATACATAAAACTACCAAGCAAGACAGCTCAGGGCTGATTCACCTAATATATTCTTAAGTACTGATTTTAATCTCTGTCCAGGCACTGGCTAACCTGAATGAGGTTTATCACAGTTTCCTCAATCATTTCAAGGAAATGTCTGCACATAACTTCAAGCAGGTCACACTCGGTTCTTGAGATATCTTTACTACCAAGTAACAACATTACCTTATGCTTTGCATTGTTATAGCTCGGTTAGTAATGAGAAGTCTGTGGGGGTGGGAGACTAAGGAATCAGGGTTTGTTTTCCAGCAGTGGCAAGAGACTTTTCTTTTCTCCACAGCTTCCAGACAGCTTTGGGACCTACCCAGATTTCAACCCAATGGATACCAAGTATTTTTTTCCCAAGGCAAGTGATGAAGCCAAGAAGCTGACCACACACCTCCATCTAGTTCTAGCATGTGTGGAGCTATGCCTCCAGTCTTCCACATATCCTCAAGGCATGACATTTAATGAAATGACAACTCCACGTTTTCGTTACCACTTGCATCATAACCTATCAGTGATTAGTACCATGATGTTCTGGAAAGAAGTGACTTTCATTTTCCTTCCAATGCTTCGCCTACAGATGGTCCCAAAAATGTATACACACTTTATTAACTTATATTTTAACAACTAAAGTAGGCAAACATTAACCAGTATTATGTTGGTTACCTTAAAATCACAAATAATCTATCATCTGGGCCACTTATGACTTACATACAAAGGGATTCAGTCTCACACTACTCCAAAAATAAAAATGTATTACAATTAACTCTGCTCATTAAGGGCTCCAAGTATTATTTTCCTCACCCTCTAAGGTAATTCCATGCACTTTCATTATTGGTGACTTTCTTGATTTTTTCTAGAGTGAAAGCCAGCTCTTGCTCTACCACATCTGGTTTGAAACCTGTTGTGTTGTTGATGACAAAGTAACGCTGGTTCCATGCAGAGTTGTTGCGAATGTCATCCTCCAGCAAATGATCCACATATTGCAATTCATTCTCAAATAATCTGCAAACACATAATAACTTAGAAGGGTACAAAACACATATAATGTGTGCAAGGCAGCTGATCAAACCCAGAGCAGTCTGAAGAGGTCAGTGGAAGTGTCTTGAAAATGTCTGTCTTCAAAGTCTACATATCCCCACACTCTTTCTCTTGTTCACTCTGTGAACCGTTTTTTTTGTTCAATTCATCTAATGTATTTAAAAATGTAACTTTTCTGTTTCCAACTAAAGACCTAATAGTGAAAACACAAGGGTTTATGAAATGTACTGCAGAATAGTTTTGGGATACAATCTGAAACTTCATTCCAAATATCTATTTCCTCAAGTACAAGAACAAACTTTAATTTCTTAACTTGAGCATTATTCCTTCTTTACAGTTTTAGTTAATGTAAATCGTGGCACTGACAAGGAGAACAATATCCTAGGCAAAGACTTGGTACTTCGCTTGTAGAATATGTATATATTCCTGTCCTGCACCAATTGTATCCACTCCATACCTTCATATTCCATTTCTCTAATACACATTTCCACTGTTGCCCACTGTCTATGCTTAAGTCTTCCAAATGGTCTCATCATTCATTCATTCACATTCCTGTTGCTCCCTCTGGAGCACAGGGCATCCGTGAAATGTTTCGCTTCAGTTTCTTAATCTTATAGACAGTTGGTAGAACTTCTGGGATGGGGGATAACCCATTGCAAGGCCACTACCTACACAGGAGAACACACATCCATGCCTTGAGCGGGATTCAAATTCACGACTCCAGTATTTCGAGCGAGCAAAGACAAGTTCATGTCTTAGACTGTATGATCACTGACTGGCTTCTCATCACTAGGGGTTCCCTAACAGACATTTTGTAAGCATTTCACTTTCATACCTATCGCTTCGTCCTCATTCAATAACGTTAATAGTATCAGGTAAAGCATAAAAGTCATGAAGCACTTATGTAATTTTATTCTAACAGCTTTTGTAACACACAGTCATCAGTCTGCTGATAGAGCAAAACCTCCTAGCATACTTTCATATCTCACATACAATAGATGTGACCTCATTCTACCTTCTTGTTCATATGAACAATTTGCATCTTTCTGATACGTTTGCAAGAATTTATATTATTCATGTTTCACATTGCTTATAATATTACTATGTCATTGTTTATTCCTAATATTTACATAGCAAAGTGTGTATGTTTTAATATAGAAATGCCTAGTATTTAAGCATTACTTACAAATGATTATTTATATGAATTAATATTATCAAAGTTTTATTGTTACACTTATAACTTCAGAGACACAAATAAAAGTTATATTGTTAAAATTTGTTTTTACAACAGCCACTGATTTTAAGGACATATAAAATATGAATCAGTGTGCTGACGACATATTTTTACAACAAGCTTAACTTACTTGAAAGTACGAATGACCCACTGTCTATGCTGCCAAGCATGATAATTTTTGGAATCTTGTGAAAGGACTGTTTTGGTGAAACTCAGTTCATATGATGGATCTTGTAACCATTCAACAATTACTCGCCGATGGTGCCTAAGAACAGAAGACTGTGTAAGCAAATTGACATTGCACATTGTTTCACACCTTAAGACACCTACAGTTACATTTTCATTCTAGATTACACGTGTTCTGAAAACACAAGATTGATTTTAACCTGTATTATAAATCTGTTTTGTGGCAAGTGGAAAAATAATTGTTTCAGGGATATATAAAGTGTGGCAAAATTAAACAGATATAAAACACAAACAACGATGCTCAGAATAACAGAATTTGCTCTTCTTAGGACCTCATTTTCTGCTGGTTTGTACCATTTGTCACTTGCCTGAATGCACGTGATGCTTATATTTGCCCCTTACAGTGGATGATCAGACATCTCTAAATGGGCAACACCATACAAATCTGAATGGCTAATAGCTTAAGTAACAGGAGATTTGAATCCCATTCTAACACTCTGTCATGTTGCTTCTTTATTCATAAAGGAAAACAGATTTTTTGGTTTCTTTCATTAGTGTAGTTGATTGAGGCACTATATTATAAGCTGGAAGGTTGTGGGTTTGATTCCCAATGTGGTCAATGAATTTTTTCAATTTTCCTAATCCTAATGACATTACAGTCATCTGTAAGCCAAAAGTCTAGAAAATGTGGGAGCCTCGATCTCTCACACCCCTATGGGCCTTCACAGCCTGCTACAGGACAGTTTTACCTTTTTTAACCTTTAAATGCCAGGCTTTTGAAATGGTGGTAAGCTTGAGCTGGCCGGAGTCTATTTAAATGCATGCTGCCACTCTGCATTTAAATGTCCGTTCCTGTTAGGGCACTTAAACAATTTTAAGCATTGTGTGTATGCTGTGTCTAACACAATTTTTATGATAAATGGATGGAATTAACTTTGTTTGTATCAGCAAAGAACATAGTGTTGTATATTACAACGGAAGATTTGAAAAATTTTATACAAAGAAGTATACTCTATTTTCAATTTTTTCTTTTAACACATTGCGGACCGGACGGGCCATATGGCCCTCTACGTTCCCAAGCGTTGCGGACTGGGCGGGCGATATGGCCCTCTACGGTCACGTTATGTTACAAAACGCTATGTATCACTGTGTGGCTTCGTTGAATCGTAACTACTGCGTAGATGACCTCGGGAATGATTGCTGCCTTATCTAGTAACTCGACCAGAGTCATTTCCTGTCACAACCTAAACAAAATTGGCTTTGTTCTAATCCAAGCTTGCACGTATCAACCACGCAGCTACCAGTTCGACATGGCTCAGAGACGAAAGCAGTTGCGATCTCTCAGAGGACAGGAAATATTAGATATGTTCTCCGATGAGCTATCAGATTTGCCAACTGCAATCATCTTCTGATAGCGAGGCCATTATCAGTGACAGTGACGGGGGCCACAGGGCTGCCCAAAATGTGTCAAGTGAAAGTGAGAGCTCCGTTGAAAGTGCGAGTGTCGGAACAGCAATACCTACTTTCAAGGAAAGTACGTATTTGTGGTACAATTAGGGTGAACAGAGGCCTCCCTCCAGATCTGAAAGAGGAATGTAAACGCCTGAAACGTGGCGACACCGCATTCAGGAGGAAGGAGGACATTCTTCTTCGGTCCTGGAGGGATACTCGCGTTGTGAATATGATTTCCACTATTCACAATTCGAGCATGGTCGATGTTCAAAGATGACATGGGCAAGTAAAGAAGCCTCTTTGTATTTCCGAGTATAATATGTTCATGAAAGGAGTTGATAGGGCCTACCAGTTCTTGGCCTATTATTCCCTACCTAGGAAAACAATAAAATGGATGAAGAAAGTTGCACTGTGGCTTATAAACTGTGCAATTTTCAATTCATTTACGGTTTTCAAAAAGGTGAACAGAAATTCTACTTTGAAATACAAAGCATTTCTGTTGAAACTGGCAAAAGCTTGGGCTACTGATGTCACAGTGGCAGCAGTACCTGCGTCAGACACAGACGTAGTGCAGCTGGGGCCATCTGTTCGCGCCCACCGGAGGCCTCAAGTAGACCCCCCTGGCCGACTCTCGGGTGATATGCGGAAACATATTCTTGTGAAAACTGTGAAGAGTGAATATTGCAAGAAGAAACACCCTTCTAGGCAGTGCCGTGTGTGCGCAGAGCACAAGGAGAAGAGTAGAACTGCCTAAATGTGCAACTTCTGCGTAATGCTTCTTCACAAAGGGGAACGTTTATAAATCAGTTAGAGAATATTATACATTCACTTTATAACTTTAAAAATGAAATAATTATTTGTGGTGACATGAATGTTAATTATTTAGAAGAGTCTAGCAGGGTTAAACAATTAAATGCTCTTTTGAAAACCTTTAATTTAGACAATGTGGTAACTTTTCCTACCAGAATTAGCAGACATTCTAGTACTTCCATTGATACTGTGTTCGCTGA